ATGAGATGTGTGTTCTGCTGGGCTTGCACTTAGATATGTGAACCACTGGCTCACAAGGGGAATATCCTGAAAATCTCTTCCACTGTTGGTAAAGAATCAGAATTCATATCCATGGGATTCTTAATTATTGTTGAAAGTCCTAAATCTCATCTTTTAGTGAAGATGTAGGGCCTTATTTTAAAGTGATGCCATTCTTACCAAGTTAATTTTTCTTTTCATTTATTGACAGGTAAGTGTAGTGGTCGGCAAGAAGACTCTCTTTCTTTTTAATTTGAATGATCCTGATAACCCAATTGATCTGAAATTTCAGCAGCCTTATGGCAGTATTGTAACCTACAGATGGTGAGCAGAACTTTCTTAATGAAGCATTCTAGTACTAACAAGCTGAAGATTTTCCCAGTAGTTCTGATAAATGCTGGAAATGAAATCATACATCTCTTGCTTACACTGGATTTTTCTTTAATGTATTGTAGCCTTTTTAATAATTCTTCTCCAAAGAAAAGTCTACATTTTGCAATTGTTTTACTTGACAATTCAATGGCTATAAGAGCAGTATTTTCAAATATAATCGCTGTCGGTATGCTCAAATTCAGAACACTAATGCTGTTGCTGTCCTGATAGTAGATCAAACCAAGGGTTTTGTAGGTTGTTTTCTGTTTAGGTGGGTGAGTGATGAAAGAGCTGGGGGTAGAGTTGTATCCTTCAGCTAGTTTGTTGGTTTACAAAGTTGTGCAAAGTTCTTGTAGCTCCTCTGCTATGTAATCCAATTGGTAATGTTCCTTTGAAGAAGTCCCAAGCTAGAAGTTTCAACTCTGTACCCAAAAAGTAGCTGTACTGTTTCTGTATCTTTGAATCATGACACTGGGTCTTTTAATGCTGGTTCAGTCAACATGGAATTGACATTTATCCCTCTACACTACAACTGTGAAAGAAAACCTGTAGCTATATGCTTCTTAATTTATGGCCACATGTCTAACAAGGCATACCTGGGCTGTTTACCTTGCAATGATTTTTTTGCAACTAAGCTGATGAGATATTGTTTGAATTCATCCTTACATGCTGTAACTATTTCTGCCTTAACCTCATTATTTCTACTTGACACTGTGAAAAGTAAACAGTCTATCTATTCATGAACACAGATTGTAGCTTTGGCACAGGGACTGGCATTACTATTTTTAGCATAGATGGGACCCAGTCAGCCAGAATCTTGAAATGGAAGTTTCCATCTTCTGGCATGCTTATTACAGTGAAGGTACCAGAGGTCTTTCTCCTGGCATCACTGCCATGTATGCACCTGGCTGAAGGTAAAGTGGCATTATGGAAAAGACAACTTATGAGTGAACTCTGGGCAAAACCATGGTTTTCTCCTTTGTTGTTTTTCCCTTAATCTATTTTATACTATATTGTTCTCCATTATATATAAATTCCCATAATTTTATTATTTTTCCTATTAAAGGGAGGCATTGACAGTTACCTCTGTAGTCTGAAAGAAAATGCATATTGCATAAATAGATCTCTCTTCTTAATTGTTGGTTTTTTGTAACAGGTATGGCGATGGCTACATTATGATTGGTTTCTCACGAGGTTGTTTTGTAGTCATCTCTACACACATTCGTGAGATAGGTCAAGAGATCTTTCAAGCTCATAATCATAAGGATAATCTAAGCAGCATTGCTATATCACAGTCATTAAACAAAGCTGCATCATGTGGAGACAACTGGTAAGTGGTAGTTTTATACACAAAGAATGAAATTCATCTCACATAACTGTAGCTGTTTGGCATTGAAGCTAGGCTCCCTTCGGCTTCAAGGCTCCCTAAGAAGTCAATGCAGAGAAGGCGAGGTGCATTGCTTTGTGGGACTGCCTCTCTGCCTAAAGTTAGGAGAAACTAATATTGATGAAAATCTCTGAAATGGTAATTAACATTATTGTAATTTATTGTAAAAAAAATAAATTAAACTTTACTCTAGATTATTCCTTTTGATTATTTCTTTTTCTATTATGTTACTTGGCTACAAAAATGTCCAAATTTCTTTACTATGATATGTTGATTGGACATAAACATCTGCTTAGCAATAGGTGAACAATTCATTTAAAGCTGTACGGAGTATGCTGATATCCTGATATCTTCTTCCCTGGTGTTTGGTCTTACCTGGAATGTAGACAAAACTATAAATGCATAAGTGATTAAGGAAAAAAAATACTTAAAGAGACTGGAGTTTTTCCAATATGTGTTGTGCATATGACAGAATACCTCCTTTAGCTCCTTGTCTGCTACTCCCTGATTCTGTGACATCTGAATTCTTCAGTGAAAAACGAGCTGAGTGATAGTAGTGGTCAGACCTTTCTGTCTGTCCTCAGTTCTGTGTATGACCTTAACAGACTGCTGATTTATAACACTTGCACATCAAGAGTGGTGTAACTGTGAGCAAAACATGATGCAACTTCAAGCACTTCAGCTATTGTATTGTTTCTTTAAGGGGTTCTTTAGCATGTATTGAGTAACATGACAGCATAAGTAAACTCTCACTCTGTCCCTTTTTATGTGAAGCAGGATAGAAAGCTAGCTTTTTGCATCTGTGTTTCAAGAAGTGTTTGCCCATCAGGAATGTGTTTTTAACCTAGCCTGTACTGTAACAGGTTAAAAGGAAGTAATAGCGTGTGTTTCCTATCCCTGAGTTCTTTCAAATTGGATTTGTACCTTTTCCTCAGCAAATCTTTTCCTGAGCAAATCTTTTTGTACAGTGATAGTGATACACTATTTAGAGTGATGGCTAACAGTGAGTGTGTGCTGCTCTTTAGGAAATGGAAGGCATTTTGCATTTGTGCTCTTATTTTTTGCTCCTTTAGGCTGTCTTGATTGGGTTGAGTTTCTTCCAGTTTATAATGACTGAGATTTATATTCATGAGAATGACTGTTTATTTTTGTTTTAGCATTAAAATCCATGATCTATCAGACCTGAGAGACATGTATGCCATAATAAACTTGGATGATGAAAACAAAGGTATGTTAACAGTCTCCATGAGGACAGAAATTTTTACAAATTAAGTAAAACAGAATTTTGATGGTGACTGTTTACATGAGCGAAAGTATTGTCATTGGAAAAACTGTAAATACAGAATTTATCATAAATTCCTTCTTTCCAACTTGTATTTATTAGGTGACCCATAACAAAATGAGGACATACCTTATTGTATCTCTTCAAAGTATAGAGGAATACAGCTCCCAGAATATTTGATCAGTTACTGTTTTGGTTTTTTGAATCTGTAATACAGTATATTCAGATTACTAATATAATATATTTAACTGGTTTCTGCTTCTTTCCATGGGGTTTTTTGGTGGGTTTTTTGTGCTTTTCAGCATCTCTTGTACTGACATATACTACTTAATCTGTTCTCATCCTGGTATACAGGTTTTGTGCCTGTAGCTTCCAGAACATCATTACAAGACTTATGTTCCTGGGTAATGAGTTACCACCGTTGTGTCCTCTTGTAGTGTCTGTAAATACTTCAGTTATTGTCAAGTCTTCGCTCTTAGGAAAGTGCTTAATTGGTAAATTATGGATTTGGTTTGAGTGATTCCAGTTAATCTTGGAATTATATTAATTGGTTATGTTTGAGTACATTAGTACATATATTCCTAGGTATGAATTCCTACCATTTTCACATTTTAAAGCCAAATAATTATTTCTTGGTTTCAGTAGTTAAAGAGTTATTTTTTTTTCTTGCAAAAACTTGTGGATGTTTTAGGTTTAGATCAGCTGGCTTGGACAGATGATGGACAGTTGTTGGCAGTATCTACACGAAGGGGATCCCTCCATGTTTTCTTGACAAAGCTTCCAATCCTTGGAGGTGCTTGCAGTACACGGATTGCATACCTCACTTCTCTTCTTGAAGTTACTATAGAAAATCATGTGGAGAAAGTATGATAACCTCTTCCTTTTAAACTTAATTTAGATATAAGTAAGTATTAATAGTGGATGAAAATTGTTCTATTTTGTTTTGTTTTCTTACAGGAGCTACCAGTCACAGTCTCTGTTGAAGTAGAGCCCAGTTTTGTTGCTATTGGTGTTTATCATTTGGCTGTAGGAATGAATAATCGGGCTTGGTTTTATGCACTTGGAGAGAATAGTAAGCATAAATTTAGTTCTCTTAAAACTGCTGCATCATTGTGCCTTATTTTGTGAATTTGGTATTGTGTTTAGCAGTTCTGGATGTTCAACGTTGTGTAACAACAACTCGAATTGTCCAATAGTCCTGATCTTCACAAACCGAAGCAGTTATGACAAGGCTTTGTAAATAATAGAAATAAAACTTCAGGTTCAAGGTATTGGTAATGAAACATAGAATTTTTTTTCTTTTTTTCAGATCGTGTTGTTAACCAATGAGGGCCTTTTAGGCTTTTGAAACTTTATTTGACCATTTAAATACTAAGTTTGGCGAAGTACCTTATGGACTGTATGATCTGAGGGTTTAAATGCTCAGTTTGGTAGATGTTCATGTTGTTTGCATGGGGTGAAGTAAAATTGGTTTTGCTATGTCCAAATTTTAGACAGTGGATTTAAAGCTTTCATGTCTCTCTAAGCATCACCTTTTTTGGCTAATAATAAATTAATCAAAACTGTGAGAATACTAGTAAGAGTTGCATAGGAAGAGAGTTTCTGTTGTACTTTCTAACCAGTTCTCTGACTGCTAAGAAGAAAGTGTCTTTATATGTGAGTTTTTCCCTCTCTGGTTAGTTGTGGCTTTTCCACATCTAGTTACTCAGCTGCAAATTCAGATGATGATAAGTGAAGAGCTATACAAAATCAAAATATTTTAACCTTTTCTTTTCTGTTTGAATTCTTCAGATGTAAAAAAGCTTAAGGATGTGGAGTACCTGGGGACAGTAGCAAGTATGCACCTTAATTCTGATTATGCCGCTGCTCTCTTTGAGGGTAAAGTCCAGTTGCATATGGTAAGAGCTCTGGCAATTTGGAGTGCTGAACTAATGAGTTGCTCTAAGCTGAACAAGTTAATATAATTTTAAAAATGAGAGAAAATGGAGTGATCAGTTAATGGAGATCAAAATTTTTTAGAATTTTTTTTGCTGGCTAATTAAAATATAAAGCTGAGTTTCTGGAGACCTTAGAAATACAACCTAGTCTAGAACAGGTGAACAAAAAGTGTTTTCCTGTGAACTGTTTAACAAGTCTTATTTTAAAAGTCTCTGTGGGAATGTGACAGAAGCAGATGCTGGGTTTTAAGGATGCACATGCAAGTTTGTCTTCATCTCATTTCCTTACAGTTTGATACAGGCAAAACCATGATACCTCATTGTTAACAGTGGAATTTTTCAGTTCATTCTATTCTTTATATTTAGATAGAAAGTGAAGGTTTGGGTGCTCAGGAAGAACGGGAAACTCGACTCTTCCCAGCAGATGACGATAAATACCGAATTTTGTGCCATGCTTTAACTAGTGACTTCCTCATATATGGTACAGATGTGAGTATTACTTCTGGTTTTAAAGATCTTTTTAGATGGAATATATTTCTGTCTGAATTATTTGGATTATTACTCATACTTTTAGCAAAAAAATTGTGCTTCTGAGAAGTTTACAGTGGATATTTTCTACGCAAGAACTTCATGCAAATACAGTCAAAATTGCATCCAACTTCCTTTACTATTGCATTTATATGAGATGCATTGGCAGAAAGGTTAAGTTTTGCCTTTACTAGTGTTTGTTGCAAAACTCTGATTTTAATAGCAGAATTTAGTTCTGTTGCATTAGTGAGAGGGTGCGCAATCAAACTGTCTTCCAAATATAAAAAAAACCATAGCACTTGCCTTGCAAACTTGTTGATTTAGGTGATGCTGTGATAGATGTGGACAAAAAGGTACTAAGGTAAACAAGTATGATAGCATAAATGGAAGTATTGACTTACTATTGAAGCCTTTGCCCAAAGAGAATTTTTTTTAGGTGTTTCAACAAAGATAGGAATGAGGAGGGCACTGAAGAAAGATGTGAACATGCTTATGGATTTTTCCAGAGATTTTCCTATGCACGAGGGGTAGTTTGTTTCCTTTTAGTATTTCCTGGCACTCAGAATACAGGGCACATTTGGCATTGTAGTGTTGTGCTCTTTGTGACACAGATGTATTGACCTTCCAGAGGAAAGGCAGAATCACTGTCTCTGGTGTTATCACTGGTTTAATAACTTGAGTGGTTTTGCAGCAGTTGAGGGCTTTCCCACCTCCTCAGTACCTAAACTGGTAAAGATGATAAATTTGAAGTCCTAAATTCATGACTGATCAATCTGATGTGTGCAAATTTTACAATTGACTTTCAAAGCCGCCTTTTACTTCCAGTGTTCTTCTTTGTGCGACACTAATTGAAATATAGCGTTGATCACAAATCAGTTTGATTGCTTTTCTCCCCTGAATTAGGTGCATCTGTTCTTAAGAATGTGTGGTTCTTCCCTGGAGGCAAACTTTTCAGCTTTGTTTGAAGGTTAAGCTTCTCTCAGCAATGAGGCAGGTATTACCCTTGTTTAGAGAACTGCATAGTAAATACAGCTTGTCTCCGCAAAGTGGAGGGAGATAAACAATAAAATCAGCAGAAAACCTCTCAAACCTCCGTCTGCTTTCTCTGCGCTTCCAAAAAGTTTTCCTATCCTGTCCAAACCCATCCATGAATGAAGAAGGAAGCTAAAATAACACCTGGAAGTACTTTTCTTTAAACACTTTCATGCTCAGCACTCTTTAAGATGGGAGAAACTACAACCAAGTTAATTATCTACTTGCCATTTACAGATGTCATCATTAGTTTTTTCTGTTCTTTCTCATTAGACTGGAGTTATCCATTATTTCTACATTGAAGACTGGCAATATGTGAATGAATATCGGCATCCTGTCAGTGTGAGAAAAATTTTTCCAGATCCCAGTGGAACCCGATTGGCTTTCATAGATGACAAAAGTGATGGCTTTGTCTATTGTCCAGTAAGTTTGTGTGGCATACCCATACAATTATATCTACAAGCAGGCTCTTCAACTATATAGTGTTTTTAATTGAGAATGAAGAAGCCTTTGTCACTCCAATATGTATATGCTGGTAGAAGAAATTGCCAAGGAGGCTTGAAGATAATGTAACAGTAATGTAAGGAAATAAAATCTGCCCTATTAGATAGGACAATTTCATTATACAAAATTCCTAATCAGTAATTTTCAGAAATTTATATGTTTGTGTATTTAAATACAGATATTTTAGTCTGTTAACAAGCACTAACAGTTTCACTGCCTGTCCCCATACCTTTTTTTAAGAAAAGTAAATAACATTCATATAATGTGCATTTTCTCCATTTACTTCCCTTCTGAATTAAACTGTTATGTTATTCAGAGTCGCTGCTTATAAGAAAACTTTTTCTTAATAAAATTTTCTTATTTCTGCACTATTTATATTCTTTTTTTATTTTTAATCATAACCGGGATTAATATTTATTTTGTCTCCTTAGTCATTTGCTAGTAATTTTGCTTTTGCATTATTTGTAGGTAAATGATAGATTATATGAGATTCCAAACTTCTCACCAACTATTAAAGGAATCCTGTGGGAAAACTGGCCAATGGATAAAGGTGTTTTTGTTGCTTTTGATGATGATAAAGTGTACACTTATGTTTTTCACAAGGATGCCATTCAAGGTACTGTAAATGCTTTTAAAAACTTATTCACAACTTTAGTTAATGAAGTAAAACATTCTGAGTCTTCATTTGTCTTAAATATTTTCATAACTGCATATAAAAATGAATAGTACTACAGAAGTTTTGATGTGCAACTGATGAATAGAAAAATAGTTGCTTTGTAGGTTTCTCTGTAAAGCTCCAACAGGCACTTTGGTCTTAACTCCCTAAGCTTCTTGCTATTAACTATCTTTTGTCTGGAATTTACACATCATGCTTCAGTTGTATTTTGAAATTTTCATGAGAAAATCTTAGGATCGGGGTGGCAAAACTTGTATTCACTTACGCTGTTAACCAAAATTGTAATCATAGCAATTTCTGTATTTGTTACAAAGAAACATTAAGAAATTTACCTACAAATATTTGGAAGATGACCTTGATAGTTTAGAAGATTTGTTATGTATATTTACTTTACTGAAAAATAGGCACTGTAGAGTAGATGGTGACTACCAGAATTAGAGACCTTGAATTAATGCCCTGTAAATCTACGGTATTTCAGCTGTGACTGCTTGATAAACTTTTTACAATGTAGGGATTTTTTTAAATGATGTCTTCTCTTCTTTCTGGTCTTTGAATTTAGGATCAAAGATTATTTTGGCAGGTGGCACGGAAGTCCCCTTTTCCCATAAACCTTTGTTGTTGTATAATGGAGAATTAACTTGTCAGACTCAGAGTGGGAAAACAAACAATATCTATCTAAGCACTCACAGTTTCCTTGGCAATTTGAAAGACTTTGGACCTAATGAACTGACACAAATGCTTACTCAGACTTTAATGTTGAAAAGGTACATCTGCGTTTTAATTATATTGTGTAAATTGTTTTCTTCTCTGCTTATAGCTCAATACACTATATCCTGGTGATACAAAAATGTCATGCTGAATAGTCATAAGTTAGAATGATCCATGAGTCCATGTAGCTGTCTATGCAGACCAGGCAAAATAAGTGACCCATTGGTGCTTTATTTGTTTTTCCACTGTCAAGTAAAAGCTAAAGTAATTTTTTTCAAGACTGATTCAGAATTCTATGACAGTGGCTCTTCCAAAACTGACTGAAGGTCCTTCTTTGAAAAAGTGTGGTAGAAACAGGAGAAACAGAACTGTAAGTTATACATTTGTATTTCTGCTTTCTTCCTGGCACATCTCTCTCTCTCCATGGCTTAGAAGTAAATGCTTTTTATGTGTTCCTTGCCATAGCATTAGGAAAAAAAAGTGTTGAGAATTTTAGGTGCGAGTAATACTATTTTAAATAGGTTTTACCTTCTGTAGGTTTTCTGAAGCGTGGGAGGTGTGCAGACTTCTGAATGACCAGTCTGGTTGGAATGAGCTGGCCAAAGCTTGCTTACATCATATGGAGGTGGATTTTGCAATACGTGTTTATCGGACATTTGGTAATGCTGGGATGGTGATGTCACTAGAGCAAATAAAGGTAAAATGTAAAGTCCCTTTTAAATGGGAAATACTGTGATTTAATTCTTCTTTAAGAATCGCTGAATTCTTACTTTCGTGGAGACTTTGGTGTTTTTTAAATAGAAGGTGAATTATTTTCAAGGGACTTAATAGCTATAGAGGAGAAAGCATCCAAGACACATCACTCTTGCTTGGTTTTCTCTTGAAGTGGTTGCAGTTGCTACTGGAACACACAACATTCCTTTCTGCATTTGCTTGAGAGCAGCAGAATATATTCATGTCTCAGGCATTTAAAAGCTGTTTTTTCCTTTCTAATTTTTGAGGAAATTTTTAAGGCTGCTATTAAATTATTAATTTAATTATTAAAATTACTATGTAATTATTAAAAAAATTGCAATTATACATCTAAAAGTGTGCGTGAAATAGTACCTTAAAAATATACTGTTGCAAATTGCTGATTTTAGACAGTGTAAGCTGTAGTGGCTTTGAGCTACAATAAGAAAGTGAGGGCTTTTTCTGATTTGTAGAACCCGATACACATGGTTGTGAAATGTAGGGATATTTTGGTTTACTGTGCTTACTAGTTTATGTTACTTATAACAATATTCTTTTTATTTTGGACTACTTTTGCACCTATTATGTCTTTTTACAGGGAATAGAAGACCACAACCTTTTAGCAGGACATCTTGCCATGTTTACTAGTGATTTTAATCTGGCTCAGGATTTATATCTGGCATCGTCCTATCCTATTGCTGCACTTGAGGTATTCATTTAAGATGTGTAAATTTTCTTCTGCTGTTTTCATCTCCACTTAAATGTTGGAATATTTTACCTTCTGATAATTCTGCCCTTTTATGGTTTTGTTCTTGCTATTGTGTGACTGACAGACATTCTTTTAGGATGAATGCCTCTCAAATTGTCTGAATCTGCCTAGAATACTAGCTCTGTATTTGTATTTAGTATAATATAAAGTTCATATTAGAATTCAGAATTTGATACTTGCATCAGAAAACCATAGAATCATTTAGGTTGGAAAAGACCTTTCAGATCATCAAGTCCAACCGTTAACCTAACCCTGCCATCCCACCACTAAACCTGGTCCCTAAGCACCTCATCTACCCATCTTTTAAATACCTCCAGGGATGGGGACTTGACCACTTCCCTGGGGCAGCCTGTTCCAATGCTTAAAAACTCTTTTGGTGAAAAAAATTTTCCTAATGTCCAACCTAAACCTGCCCTGGCGCAACTTGAGGCCATTTCCCCTCGTCCTATTGCCCATTTCCTGGGAGAAGAGACCAACACCCACCTCGCAACAACCTCCTTTCAGGCAGTTATAGAGGGCGATAAGGTCTCCCCTCAGCCTCCTCTTCTCCAGGCCAAACAACCCCAGCTCCCTCAGCCGCTTACTGTTCTTTCTTAATAGATGCGGAAAGACTTGCAACACTGGGACAGCGCACTTCAGCTGGCTAAGCGTTTGGCCCCAGACCAAATCCCTTTCATATCAAAGGAATATGCAGTGCAGCTTGAATTCACGTAAGTTCTCCTGTGAAGTTGCAGTATAAGAATGTTAAAACAATATTCATGCTCACTAGAAGAACATAGAATTGAGATACTTCAGCTGACTGCATTGCTGAGAGAGAATTCTGTGAGGTCTTGCAGCTATAGTAAGAGGAAGGGTAGTTTTGTAAGGAGTACTTCATGATGGAGACATATGTTAGCAAATAATAGTTATTTATACATTATATAATATACATATTGTATAATTTCAGTATATTTGGGTCCTTTGCAACTGGTGGGTCCACTATATAATAATATCATCTACTAAATAAATACTTTGTTGCAGGCAAGTGCTTGGAAAATAGAGAAAGTTCACACCATTTAACACTTCTTACATTGGACGAAAGCCTTGCCTTTTGCTTATCTTTCCTTAAATACCCAGTAGCCTTCATTTTCTTACATATTTTAGTTAGTGTCAAATTTCAAGGCTGCCAGTCCCTGAAAGAGAGAAGGTATTAACCATTTGCCATGATTTTAAAGTCGACTTTGTACCTAATTCTTCCCAGGTGAAACCTGGTCTACTTAATGTCTAAAACAAGAAGAAAACTTCTTACCTATTAATGGAGTTTTTAGACAACTCCATGCCCCTGGCACTGAGAGGGGACACTTGTTGGTCACAGAAAGGAAGGAAGGAGGCAGCTGAAGCAATGCAACCATCTGTAACTTGAGTTGTGAATGTACTTAAAGAAGAATTGCCTCTGTTTTTATGTTGTGAAAATTCTAAATAATTTTAGAACATTAGTTTCATTTATCTTCCAGAAGAATGTGGAAGTAGAGGTAAGATTATTGAGGTGTATTGTGCAGATAGGTTCTTTGCCTGTCTTTCAAGGGAGGTTTATTGGTCTTAGCAGAATGGAATTGAGAGATGGGCTGCCTCTTTGACTAATAGCTTGATAAGGTGCACAAAAAGTGCCATGGTATACTGTGTAACTGTCCATCTTTTGCATACTTCAACATCCTTGTATGGAGTCATTATGTCTAAAGCAAGACAGATACATGCATAATCTGTGTGGTAGAAAGGTAACCATGTCTTCCTATTAAAAATATTCTTCCATATAACTTCCAGTTTTCTTTTAGGGGTGATTATATTAACGCTCTGGCACATTATGAGAAGGGAATCACTGGAAACAATAAGGTAATTCCTTTCCAGTAACAATAGCATTTGTGCTATCATACTACTCATTAAGTTGTCATGTTTCAGACTCATTTGAATTCTGATTTTTTTTTATTCAGCTCTAAATCTATGTGACTGTTGCTTTTGGGATAGCAGTCTTTGCGCTTCTCTTATTTTTAATATACAGAATGATGCTTTCTCTAAAGCAGTATTGCTGTTGTGTTAACATGGCATAACTAGACTGAGGTTCGTATAATTTGAGCAGTTTCATAATAGGTGTGGAAATGTCAGAGAAAAATATTGCTGGGATTTTCATTCTTATAACAAAAGTCCTAATTATTCCTCCCATTCTTCTTTATTGAGTTGTTATCAATTTAAAGGCAAACAAGGTTTGTGTTAGAAAAGAAACATATTCAGTAGATCCTTCCTTATTCTGGCATTATTTCCCCTAATATTTGAAAAATGTCTATTATGAAACAGCTTAAATAATAGTAGGGAAACTTAATAGGGGAAATAGCAATGTTTTCTGAATTCAAGCTATTTGGCTTTATGAAACATCAATGACCTTACCACCTTCGTAATTCCTTTCCAGTAACAATAGCATTTGTGCTATCATACTACTCATTAAGTTGTCATGTTTCAGACTCATTTGAATTCTGATTTTTTTTTATTCAGCTCTAAATCTATGTGACTGTTGCTTTTGGGATAGCAGTCTTTGCGCTTCTCTTATTTTTAATATACAGAATGATGCTTTCTCTAAAGCAGTATTGCTGTTGTGTTAACATGGCATAACTAGACTGAGGTTCGTATAATTTGAGCAGTTTCATAATAGGTGTGGAAATGTCAGAGAAAAATATTGCTGGGATTTTCATTCTTATAACAAAAGTCCTAATTATTCCTCCCATTCTTCTTTATTGAGTTGTTATCAATTTAAAGGCAAACAAGGTTTGTGTTAGAAAAGAAACATATTCAGTAGATCCTTCCTTATTCTGGCATTATTTCCCCTAATATTTGAAAAATGTCTATTATGAAACAGCTTAAATAATAGTAGGGAAACTTAATAGGGGAAATAGCAATGTTTTCTGAATTCAAAAAAAAAAAAAAAAAAAAAAAGGAAATACCTTGCTTGCTCATAGTTTCTCTTTTTTTTCCTCTACTGTTTGTTTTGGGGGAAAGAGGAGAGTAGTACTGAGCTGTCTTTAAAACAGATTCTTCTCATGTATGCTTGGTCTGGACAGATCTTGTAAGTAAAATGTAAAAATTAAAGACAAAGCTTAAGAAGAAAACTAAGCTGAGTTCTAAGTAAGTGGCAGCTGCAGCTAGGCAAGAATTTGAAGACAAAAATTGATTTAACTAAGTCCATGTAATGTTCTGTTAATTTGTTTCAGTGCTTGGTTACTGTGGCTTTTGTGACCTGATATTTCTGATGTACAATGTATAGTTACTGCTTTTTCATTTGATTACCAGTACCAGGAACACGATGAAGCTTGCCTTGCTGGAGTGGCTCAAATGTCCATTCGAATGGGAGATATCCGTCGAGGGGTAAACCAGGCCATTAAACATCCCAGTAGGTTACTAAAAAGAGACTGTGGAGCTATTCTGGAGAGTATGAAGGTATTCAAAAGAGTTAATAAAGCTAAGGCTGAATATGTGAATTCATTAAGCTATTTATTTATTTGCAGTCTTAATTTAGAAATTATATTTTAATCATTTCCAATATTGTAGCAATTTTCAGAAGCTGCTCAGCTGTATGAAAAGGGACAATATTATGACAAGGCAGCATCAGTATATATCCGGTGTAAAAACTGGTAAGTACAGGTTTCAGGGAAGTGTTACATATTTCAGAGGACTTGCTGGGGTGCTCTTTGGAAAGGAATGATTGTCTGAATAGCACAAGTGTCTTATTAATTATGTTTCATTGATTTTTATTGTCCCCCAAGCTTAAACAAGAACAGTGTTCTCTTAGGAGCTTATGTTGTTTTAAATATAGTCTTACTGTAAATAGGAGATAGTCTTCCTTTTTTCTTTGTGTTATGTTTAATGTTACCTGCAGTTTCGGGTCCTTTGTGTGTGCGCACTGAATATAGTAATTTTATTCATGTAGTTACTGTTTAGTTCATTAAAATTCTTCAGTTATAAAATACGTAGCTGAGACCGAATATTGAGACAGTTGGAAACTATTCTGAGTTGTTGGTTCAAGTGAAGTCTGTATCATGAGTAGTCAAAATCACTGGCATTATATTCAATACATTTTTAATTTTTTAAGTGAATTTGATTATTGTCAAATTTCCAGTGGAAAAGTACAATTTACCGAGAGATTTAAGGGTCTAATTCTTGCCTAATTACATTTTATGGACTTCTAATACTAAGAACTGATCGGAGCAGAGATCAGAAAGACCCCTGCTCTTTCATACAAGTGCTCTAAAAATTAGGTTGGAATATTATGTTTATTGACTAAGGAAAAATGTATTCCGTCCTAGAAGTGTCAGTGGCATCAGAACAGATGAAGAGAACACTTCATTAAGTAGGGTAGCTTGCATAGCCTTGATTTGGAAAGTGGGAGGTACAAGCTTTGGAAGGTACAAGCAGAAAGAGGTTCAGTTTGGGGAGTTGTCTATGTTTTAAGCAGAGAGGTGAGATTTAAGGTCAGCCTCTCTTCAGTCTCTCATATCCTTTGTCTTGAAAGGCTTGCTGCTTAGTTTGCTGGCTTTTATAGATCATATCACTGTGTGCAACTCCTGAAGCTGGATTTATGGGAGAACTGACATAGTTCTGTGTTCCTCCACACTCTGCTGTTATGGATGCTGTCACTCAGAGAATCTGGTTCTGATTTCCTAGAGTTCTCTCTCTACAACCTATGGCCTTAAGCACACAATCACAGAAGTAATCAACTGCACCTGTACTGGTGATATTTTGTGCTCTTTTGCTCATTCTTTTAGGTTACAGTTTTAATTCTGTGCTGCTTCTGTAGATTAATTAGAGAATACTGGAGGTAAAAATTGTTGGTCTGGTACTTCTTATGCTCATACTTCTCAGACTTAAAAAAGAGTCCTTCTTCAAGCCTGTATGTTCATGAAGAAGTCTATAATTTCCAGTTCTTACATCTATGAAGTGCAGCTTTTTGAAAATATTAAAGTGCCTTCAAAGCCTATACATTGTGTTCAATTGCTTCTTTTTTAGCCTTCTTTGCAGTGTTGATATCAAAATATGCCTGTTGTAATTGAGAAAATTTGAAAGCAGAAATATTTATTAAATAACTATTATCTTGTCTTTCTAGGGCAAAGGTTGGTGAACTTCTTCCTCATGTTTCATCTCCAAAGATTCACCTACAATACGCAAAGGCCAAAGAAGCAGATGGCAGGTGCATTTGAATGTTTCTTTTTTTTAGAAAACATGTTGTTGTTGTTGTTGATATTATTATTATTATACATTACTCTCTTTGTAAAATAAAATAAGAGACAGACTTTAAATTTTGTATAAGATAGCCTTGTGAAAATGGATTCTGCAATTTGTAAACTTAAGATATTATGTAAAGATTTTAAACATAATCTAAGGACCATCCACTACTATCAGAGATGTTTTTCTAATTAATTGTTATCCTGTCTAAGCATTAATATATTTTTTTTAAAAATCATTCAAGGTCTTAAAGTACTGCACCCAATGCAATGTTCCACTTGGCAGATTACTGAAGTTCAGTTTGCTTTTAACAACTCCTTAGCTGTGATTTTTAAAAGTCATTCAAAGGGGGAGTAATCACAAAAGAAAAATTTTCACTCAAGAACCAAATGATTGTTACGTCTTAATGGCTGCACTTGCAAAATATTGAATGATGTGAAATTATTGGCTGAAATGAAAACCCCAAATAGGTTATATTTAATCACAGAATGCAGTTTCTACTAGTCCTTACCTGTAAATAAATGTGCTTCAGAATAATGGTACTTTATAATATGAAACAGTGCCAAAGCTAAATGTTTGCCTTGATGAGACTTGATCTTGTTTACAGAACAGAAAAGTCGTCTCATTTTAAATTTGTACAACTAGTTATCATCTGTTTGGTTTTTATTTTTCTCTCACTCCCAAGTGATTTCATACAGAACTGATAGAACCAGATGAACTGCTTTTAAGGTATACCAAAAGGGGTGCTGGCAGAGTAGGTCAAAAATAGTATTGTAGTAAACATTTTTCTGTTGTCTCTGCCTTTCATTCTCCCAAGAGAAAATTAGAGACAAAAAACCATAGTAAATGCAGAACAAGGCTATTACATGCAAACTGAAAGGAAGGTGTTACAGTGTAACCTCTCAGAAATAAAATACTGTATGTTTCTTTCACACTGTATTGTAAAGTGTTATTTAAAAGTTAGAAAAACTGGTGTGGAACCATTATTTTGCAGGTACAAGGAAGCTGTGATAGCTTATGAGCATGCAAAGCAATGGGACAGTGTAATTCGACTGTATTTGGATCACCTTAATAATCCTGAAAAGGCTGTTAATATTGTGAGGGAAACACAGTCTCTTGATGGAGCAAAGATGGTGGCCAGGTAAGAGTCATATCATGCAGGTTAAAAAAAAAGGTGAAAGAGGCCATACCTATCATAAGTTGGTGAGGCTTGCTAACATAGCAGGCTCTGGTTATTGGTACTTGCCCAGTTACTCTATATTTCAGTTTATTGATTTGAGTTCTCTAAAATTTAGACAGCTAAGCAGATACTGATTTTTTTTTACTTTCTGATTAAAATTCTGTTAACCTGAAGTAGTAAGTTCAGATTATAATAAAAGTTGCCATGCTGTATTATTTATACTAAGCTAATTTTGGTAACCTATTTAAAATAATTGAGATATTAAAAAAAAGGAAATGTAACATATTTGTATGCCACAAAATATTCTATATTCCTAAAACATTAAGTGTATTCATTATGCTAATTAGTACTAAGGTATTAATTTGTTCATTCTGATTAGATTCTTTCTGCAGCTTGGTGACTATGGTTCTGCCATCCAGTTCCTGGTCATGTCCAAATGCAATAATGAAGCTTTCACATTAGCTCAACAGCACAACAAGATGGAGATTTATGCTGATATTATCAGTGAGTATTCCAGGTTAATAGTTTGCTTGCAATATGTTCTGCCCTTCTTTTAATTGGTTTAGACCAATTTGAAATCATAAGACAAGGGGAGCGAAGTTTTGTTTCCCAGCCTTTTCCATTTCCAGTCACCATGGTCAGATCTGGCAATCTATGTCTAATTCAGACCTCCAAACTAGGCTTTGCTTTCAGCTTAGGTATCTCCCTTGGTCTTCAGTCTAGCTGGTTTTCAAATCTTGCCTGTGCTAGAGCTTTTTCTGTTTATCAGTAGAGATAAAGCATTTGTCTAGACTATTTTCTTGTGTCTATTGAGGAAGCCCTTTCTTTGACCTTGATATATGTAGTGCTGCTTTGCCAAAACTGAGAATTTTACAGGTACAGTTCTTGGGTTTTATCCCTTCTTTTCCTTTTTTCATGAGTCTAGTTCTTTTCTTACATGTGTATGTCACTTGTCTTTCCTTTTTTTTCCCTTTAAGGCCCTTCATGGCCTCCTCTTGTGTCAGTGAGACACAAAAAGGCGACCTTGCTGAGAAGCTGACTTTTACCTCAGGCCATCAAGTCAGTCAGTGGCCAGCTTGTCAATTTGCAATAAATTTTAACATTTTTCCCCTGTGTCAGGCACCATTCTTCGTGGAAGCAGTTCCACATACATATCTACCAAATTATCTTGTATTTTCAATTAATTTCTTCCTTTAAAAATGGATTCTTGTTATGCAGGTTATGAAAACTTGGCAACATCTAGCTTGGTGATGTGCTGTTGTAGCTGCTTGTCAAGGTGGCCACTGTTGTTCTACTGTTCCTTAGGCTTTCTTCCTTCTCTCCTATCCAAAATAGGATATCTCAAATTCTAATCTAAGTGGGTGGAAAAAGGGTTTAAAACTAACTTTGGAGTAGTGGCTGTCTTTGTTTTCGATGTATACAGTAAAATGGAGTCTTAGTTAGAAGACTTAAGTAGTATTCCCTGCTACCACATGGTTACATTGGTCCTGATAGTCTTGCTCTGCGCAATACAGATGTAGTTGCGTATTCTTGAATTGTGCAAATAATTCAGGTGATAATCTCATAAGCACTTGCTCTGTTTTATTGTTGCCAAGACATAATGGAAAAATTCATTAGTGGGTCATAGTTATGCCATTTTATTATGTCCATTAAAAAACCAGAAATCATGTTATGGTATAAAACCTATGGAAACAACTATTTCACTGTATTACTAGCTCCTAATGTCTGATATTTGGTCTGATTAAATAAGTAAAAAATGTGTAAGACACAATTTGAGTCTAGCTGGCTTTGGTTTTTGAATGTCAGTCAGAAAAAACCTGTAGAATAAGAATTTGTTCCGTCAGTAGGGCCTTTATCTTACTTAGTAAGAATACTCTGCTGTCATTGCTATCTATCTGTTGCAGGTTCTGAAAGTACTACTAATGAAGATTATCAGAGCATTGCACTATATTTTGAAGGAGAAAAGAAACATTTTCAGGCGGGAAAATTTTTCTTGCTGTGTGGTCAATATGGACGGGTCAGTACTAAAAGGATAAAACAGTGATAGTTAAAAGTTCATAGAATCTGTTCAAAATACAGTACTTCAAAATCAGGGAAGTTCATAGTAGACTTTAGCTGCCTTAACCGATGACATACTGACATTTTTACAAAGTGTAAAAAACATAACTACTTATATTTACAATTATCTGCATTGTGTTCTGTGAATTATATACTGCCATGCACATAACTTTAAGCAGTAGAGGCTTCAGGTGGATGAAGCTCTAAATGTCATGAACATAGAATTAGAATTTATTTACATTTTATTAGCTTGACCAATGAAGACTTGGTTGCTGACTAATTAATTCATTTAATACAGTAGCATGCCCTAACTTAAAGCTTTTTTTTTAAAAAGGAAATATGCTAATGCATGTCCGTTGACACACTTCCTTTTGATCAGTTACAAATCAGCAAACTGACACTTATTAAATGTTTGACTTTTGCATACTGAACACATATTAAAAAAATATTACTGATTTTTGCAAATTACAGCCATTGTAGGTGACCACTCCTTCAGCTGGGGCATGGGGGAGTGGGTCCACTGGCGCATGAATCATTAATTTCTTCTCACCATATTGCTTTGAACATCTTTCATGGTTAGATGAAGATATACACCAAAATTTGGCAAAGGCTCAACTCTTCTTTCTTGCAGGAGTATCTGTAAGAGCAGCTGCTACCTCTGTAGTGTGTGTGGTTATCCTTATGGCTGTAAAATAGTCAAGATAAGCATTCAGTGTGCCACTTGTCTGTCAAAATGCAGAGAGAAATAACTTGATAAAAATGAATTAACTTGATGAAAATGTTAATTTCATGTGTCTCAGTTTTAACTTTTCTTCTGTATCATTTTAGGCATTAAAGCACTTTATGAAAAGTCCAAGCACAGAAGATAACTTGTCTATAGAAATGGCAATTGAAACAGTAAGCAACTTTGATAAAACAAAAAATTCTTCATATTTTCAAGAATTTTACCTTGATTATTGTGACATTTTCTTAGTGTCAGTTAGTGTGTTTTGACAGATTGCAAATAGAAGGAAAACTGTATCAGGAAAGGTGATATCTAAACGTTAAAAAAGTAGAATAAGTTAATACTGACACCAGAGGAGAATGTGTTTTCAGTCTTCAAAGAAGGATTTATGAATTCAGGTATTTGTGGTTGTGTGACAGAGGCACCTCAGTTTGGAATTCTCTTTTTTAGCAATATCCATATACGATTTTTCAGTTTTGCTGTTTTTTCCAGTCTGCATACTCCGGTTGGAGAGGTCAATATGTCTCCATTCTCGCTCCCTGTCACAGAATCACTAAATGGTTCAGACTGGAAGGAACCTCCAAAGGTCATCAGATCCACTCCCCTGCTCAAGCAGGGCCACCTAGAGCCGGTTGCCCAGGACCATGTCCAGACAGCTTTTGCATATCTCCACAGTCTCCGTGGGCAACCTGTGCCTGGTCACCCTCACAGTGAAAAAGTGTTTCATGATGTTCAGATGGAACCTCCTGTGTTTCAGCTGGTGCCTATTGCCCCTGGTCCTGTCACTGGGCACCACTAAAGAGAGCCTGGCTCCTTCCTCTTTGCACCCTCCCTTCAAGTATTTATATAATTGAAAAGATCGCCCCCAAGTCTTTTCTCCAGCCTCAACAGTCCCAGCTCTGTCAGCCTTTCCTCATGAGAGATGCTCCAGGCCCTTCATCGTCTTAGTGGCCTTTTACTGGACTCTCTCCAGTATGTCCTTCCCTCTCTTGTGCTGAAGAGCCCAGAACTGGCCTCACCTGGAGTAGAGGGGAACAATCACCTGCCTTGATCTGTTTGAGGCCACACTCTTCCTAATACAGCCCAGGACACCATTATCCTTCTTCGTTGCAAGGGCTGATGGCTGACTCATGTTCAACTTGATAACCCCCAGGTAGACATAGCTTTGTGACAGCAGGCTTCAGCTCATGGGCCCTAGATTCAGACACCTTCCCAACACTGAAGCAGAGGAAAAGTTCATGCTGGTAGAGACATGTTTAGTTATAATCCCCTGACATAACACATTAGAAAATAAATATGAACTACTGCATGTCAAAGCTGATGAACCAAGTAGTCATCTGGTTTGAACACGCAAAAGTAAAAAAAAAAAAATCATGTTTTAAATCTATCTAGTTTCAGTGTTTTTATGAAAAGCCTCCTTATGAATAAGTGTTTTTCCTTCCTCTTTCATATCATAATTTCTTCTGTCTTTATTTAATAGGTGGGACGGGCAAAAGATGAAGCCCTAACAAATCAGCTGATAGACTATCTTATGGGAGAGAGTGATGGCATGCCCAAGGTATTGTATTTTTAATCACTGCTATTGTATCACGTTGCTGTACTGCAAGATCTTTTGAGCTTATTTTGTCCTAAAATTTTTGGTAGACACAGATTGTGGGTTTTTTTGGTTTCAATAAGGAGCAAGACTTAGTTATATGATCGCTCTGTGAGTCATTCACACAGTAACTTCAGTTTCAGAAGGATAAGAAAGGAAGTAACTGTCTTAGATATAATCATCTTTCTCCAAGCTTTACGAAGGCAGGTAATTGGACAGAGGAGATTCAAATTAATGCTCGTACTGAGGGAAAAAGGCAACACTTAGATGTCTGTTCATGCCAGTTAGCCAGCTGGCTTGTGCCTTTCCCAGATGGTCGGTCAGCATGTGTGTGGCTCAAGACTAGCTACAGCACTGATCTCTTCTTGCAGTGTGGGGAGTTGGTCTAACTGCTGCAGTGGAAGAAAGTAAGGTAGTAAATAGGAGATGAAGGACAAAAACCCAAAAAAGATCAGGCAACATTAGTTCCTTCACACATCCTACATTAGTTGATTCACATATCAACTTAAGACATAAATTGTTGTGGGCAGATTTTCAAAATTTCCCAGCTCCTTCTTGATTTCTTAAGTGATTAATGACCATGTTCTCAAAAAGACCTTAGCCCAAAACAACTCTGTTTTAAAATGTGAAATGAATCGAAAAATTTGGCACTGAGATCACTTGAAAATTTAACTGCTTCATGTGGATGCCCATATGACAGTTAAACTTTATTTTTTAAAAAATTATCTATCTTTTTTGATTTCTTATTATGTAGATGTATTTAGTTTAAAGTTTGCATTGATTATTCATAGTCAGTTTCATCTGCAGGTATAGGCTGTAAACTAAAACACAGAGTTTCTGTTCTGTGTGGGAGAATGCAATTACATATTTAATTTATGATAGAAAATAAAAAAATCTGGAAGCACATTTGAAGATTTTTGGTGACAGACCTTCCTAACATGGAAGTTTTGATTAAATGTTGTGGACTCTGATTTTTACACTGTCACTCATCATTGTCATGAAAATTCTTCTTTGGATCCTTAGAACCTTATGTATTTTTATTTTATACTATTTAGGAGGTGCTTTGTGAGATAAGAGGTACTCTGTGCTATGAGGCTTCTTTTAATGCCACGTGATCAATTAATAAAGTTTTGAAAGGGCCATTGCCCCTCCTTCTGGGTTTCCTGCTCCTTTGTTAAAAGGAAACCATTCACTGGGAGTAATTAAAGGCTTTTGGCAGACTGGTAGCTTATTTCATCTTTCTCTCTTTTGTATATATGGATTTGGGAGTTGGAAGATATTTGCTGACAGATTTTTGTGTATTAGTTGCCAGTACCATAGGTTTGGTAATAAAGGAAGAGGATCGTTCACAAACTAAGCAGAACAGAGATCAGATCTGTGCTATATATACAATACAAGAAGTAGATTTTGACCATATTCCATTGGTATGAATTTTTTCCCAGGATAGACTAAAAGTGTCCACTGTAAATATCATGTTAGACATCAGAACAGCAGTGTTTGAGGTTAAGATGACAAGCAGCTCTTTTGCAGAGTGACTGCTGATGGGTTATCTGGTTTCTCTTGAGTTCAAGCTATAGAAAAAAAGGCTTCACAGTCCATTTTTGGCTTTGATGTCCATAGAGCTTATGGTACATTCAATCATATATGGGCTTGAGTTCATGGAACTAAGTGGCTAAGCCACTTCAAGTTTTATTGCCAGTTACAGCAGAGCTTGAATGTGACATAAGTGGTGCTGCACTCGTATTTTTTTATTGTGAAAGCCGGACCTCAAGTGCAGATATTGCAGTCTGCAATTAATTCCTTACTGAAGGAATTTAAGATCTCATACAAACTCACAGTAAATACAGTCAGGTGAAAAATTTTATGTATGGAAGTGTAAGTTCTGCCTTACTGAGAGGACTAAGGTTTGGTAGTGATGGAGATGATATGGTCTTGGTGCAGTAAGTTTATTTCATTGCTAATATACAGCTGTGGCTGTATATTAGCTGTGGCTAATATACATTCTGTTGTGAGATCAGAAATTCTGGCTCTTTCCTCTTTGTATGGCACCTGGAGATCAAGAGTTTGATACAACTGGGCAGTTGATGGCCAAGCCAGCCTTCCTTTTATAAAATTAAAAAAAACCAAAAAAACCCTCTTATCTCTTTATAGAATGGAATTTCACTTGGAAGGGACCTACAATGATCACCTAGTCCCACTGCCTGACCAATTCAGGGCTGACCAAAAGTTAAAGCATATTATTAAGGACATTGTCCAAATGCCTCTCAAACATTGGCAGGCCTGAGGCATTGACCACCTCTCTAGGAAGCCTGTTCCAGTATTTGACCGCTCTCTCGGTAAAGGAATGCTTCCTAATGTTCAGTCCGAACGTCCCCTGGTGCAGCTTTGAACCATTCCCATGCATCCTGTCACTGGATACCAGGGAGAAGAGCTCAGCACCTCCCTCTGCACTTCCCCTCCTCAGGAAGCTGTAGAGAGCAATGAGGTCCCCCCTCAGCCTCCTTTTCTGCAAATGAGACAAGCCCAGAGTCCTTAGCCACTCCCCACAGGACATGTCTTCCAGCCCTGTCACCAGCTGTGTTGCCTCCTCTGGACGCATTCAAGGACCTTCACATCCTTCTTACATTGTGGGGCCCAGAACTGCACACAGTATTCAAGGTGAGGCCGCACCAACGTTGAATGCAGTGGGATAATCACCTCTTTTGACCGGCTGCTTCTGCTGTGTGAGATGCACCCCAGGATGGGCTTTGCCCTCTTGGCTGCCGGGGCACACTGCTGGCTCCTGTTGAGCCTGCTGTCAGCCAGCACCCCCAGATCCCTTTCTGCAGGGCTGCCTCCAGCCACTCCTCTCCCAGTTACACTTGTGCCTGGCATTACTCTGTCCTAAGTGCAGAATCTGGCATTTAGACTTGTTAAATATCATTGCATTAATCATAGCCCAGCGGCTATTATTTACCTGTAATTTAAAATGTGAACATTAATGAAATTATGTGGAAAGCAAAACAGTGAAACATACACAATTCAACTGCAAGAGACCAGAAGAGAACGAAGCTGTTGGAGGCATTAGCTGATAAATCTGTGCAGCACCAGTGTAAGCAAAAGTAATTTCATATCTATGCTGAAAGTTGGGTGGGCAGAAACTGAAGCATCCAGTCTCTTTTTCTAAGAGCGGCAGCCTAGCCATGTGGTTGAAAGAAGTGCATGGGACTGGATGAGGGAAGTGAGCTACAGTATGATCTCCATAGTGAACAGGTTCCAAAGATTTTAGAAAACACTTAGGAATTTTGTGAATGCCGTAATTGCCATATTTAACATTGTTTTGAACTTCAGTGTAGAGCTTTCTTTTCCTTGTTTAAAAGCTCTCTCTTGTTTTTCTGAATGCTTTAATCGAATCTGCCATAGTCTCTCTCAGTGAGTAGCAAAATTTTACTTTATCAAATCATACATATTTGTTTTAAAAATCTACTTTAAAACCAATTCATCTTTATCCTTATTATGCTATGGAGACTGTTTTTGAAATTATCAAGCAAATGAGGTTGTTTTTAGAGAATAGCAGCTTTTATGTGGTGGTATTTTTGTAAAGCTGAAAGTAAGAGTGACCTTGAAGTAGCCATGCAGCAGAAACTTGCTAATCCTTTGGAGCGTTGATCTTCAAACCAAGTCATTGCTCACAGCATCCTGACTGCTTTAAATCTTTTGCAGCCAACAATTATGTGGGATTTTAATGAAGTATCATATTATCAAAATTATTATGCTTACCAAAATTTTGCTACAGTATTGTCTGACTAATTATAATCTATTTCTTGAATGTGTTACTATGCCAGCTATTGTATTTGTTAACTTCAAAATGTAAAGACTCTTAATTTGTCGTGTGTGTTTCTTTTGTAATTTTTCAGGGAGCATTAACTAGCAAGGTTCTGCTGTTTTCTGTGTGCATATTTTCTAAGTAATACTAAGATCAGTTAGATTGCAATAATAAATTTTTCCAAAGACCGTAGGGAATGTGTTGTCAATTGAAAATTCCTTCCTGCATTTTTTGCTTTTAAAATGGCTAACTCTAAAGGTAAAAATATGAAAGTAAAGCATAAGACTGATTTTTCTTAAATGCCTTCTATTTTCATATTTTTTCTACATATGGCTGCTGTGTAAGTCACTTAAGTATATTATTTAAGTAAAAAATAATCAGGGGCATGGCAAATAACATATAAGACCACTGGTCCGTGCTGGGACAGGATCCTTCCTCCGGCCGGTGAAACAGCCTGGATGGGGAAGAAGTGCAGCCATCTGTGGTCATTAGGAGGTGTCAGAAGTTGGAAAGAATTACATGATACCCTACAATTCATAATAATCCTTGTTTTACCCCGCTCAGGGAATAGCGGTTTTCCTTTTTAAGGCAGTTTGGAGTGGATTAATAATATCCGCTAATATAAGTAGTTGTGCTTACTTTATTATCCAGATAACTATTTCATTATTGTTAAATTATGGTTCTTATGACGTTCGACCTTTTGATCATGTGTTACTTAAAATTCTGCTCCATCACTAGTTTAATTACTCTTGGTCACTCAGTGTTTTTCATTATGTTGCAAGTTAAAAAGCAGAATTTTACTTGCCTTTTTTCTTTCTGTATGCCAGTTTTTCTGTCTTGCTTTAATTTCTGTGATTTTTCATGTTTTTTTCTTGCCTTTCAAGTAGGGAGTTAATCTTTGCAGTCATCTTCTTTATAAGGAAATGTCTTTATATCATTCATATTTCTCTTCCTTTTAATTTCTGCTGGTTTTTGCTATGTTTTTGAGACTTATGTATAAAACCCACACAGTATTCCAGAGGACAGCACAACATTGATTAATACAATTCTTTTTAAAGAAACTTTTATAGCATTTTAACAAAAAATATGCATTGTCAGTGTTTGGTTTTTATTAATAACATTGCAGAACTAATCGGTTGGGGTTTTTTACTAAGCTGTCTATAAAGCTACCAGTGATTTTCTTGATTAGTCTATATTTAAGTTGGAACCATACCATTAAAAGATAGATTGTTATGTACAGACTTTACTTTTTATTGATTCCCATTTTAGAAATCACGGCTAAAGATATAAGAATGGCACTAGCCCAGGTTTTTTGGTGCTTAATAGTTCCTTTTCATGAAAGACCAGTTCTTGGGTGAACTCTCTGCTACATTTGCCATTCTTGAATTCTGTAATATATGAGCAATGTGTACTATAGCAAATTATAAATCTTATGCGTTTTGTTAGCTGATTGTCCCCTTAATTTTCAGTTCTTTTAGCTGTCTTGGATGTCTGCCATCAGGTCCCAGAACAATACACTCTTTAATGGCCAGGTTTTGTCATCCTTATCCACACTAAGCAATGTTTGCCTCTAGATCTGTAATGTAATTTAAACATTTCTAGCAAGATTTTGATTTCTAAAAGGAGTCCCCTGGTTCTTTTCTGATACCATAAATGCCGACACGTCTGAAGTTGCTGGGTTTCCACCTGCACAACTCTCAATGTGCCTAAGGGTCTGCTGCTTTCTGCGTCCATATTGACAGGGCTTGGCAATTGACTGCCACAACTCAGTCAGGGCCCTCGGCGTTGGGTGTTTATCTGACTTGTAATGGCCCAAACTTACAGGGGAATGCAGCACAGCTAAAGCATGTTGATAGAAAGAGCTCTTCACGAAATAAGCCAGCTTGACTGCTTTCTTTGAACAATGTGGTGGTGGGATGGGCAAGTAAGTAAAGGGAATACAGCAGTATGTATTCAGTTAGTATTAATTGCTTTTGTTTGATTTAATTAAGGATGCCAAGTACCTATTCCGCTTATACATGGCACTGAAGCAATACAGAGAAGCTGCCAGAACTGCTATAATAATTGCCAGGGAGGAGCAGTGTTCAGGTAAGTCTGCTTTCTCTGATACGACAGCATCTCTGACACTGCCTCCTTGCAGTACTTAGGATTATACTTAGAAAAGACATGTATTAGTGCTTTTAATTATATTCGAGTTTAATTTTGAATTTGAAGTAGCCTTTGTGAGAAGGTTGGGACTCATACCTGTATATTAAATACTGGAAAAAAGAAAATTGTGGAAAATAACTGCATTCCTTAATACAGTCAAGTAAACATAGTGATTAAGATTGCCTGCAACTTTACTTTTCTGTATATTACAGATCCTAGAGTTGCAGTTTCTACATGCAGTTTCCGACTTAGATACTGATCCTTTAGTCTTTGTACATGATTATTTTTAGTAGGGAGATGTGCACAGGAGATGATTTCTGTTGAAAGATCCGACACCTGCTTACTTAAGCATTGTTTTCCCTGTAATAGGTAGCTGAAATTAGAAACAGAAAAAAGTAATAGGAAGGGACAGGGCTAGAAGCAAAATAGCTGTGCCTCCATTATTCGTGCTCCTCTGTAGCCATAGCAACAGCCCTACCATAACACTGCTTGCTTTTCATTTCAAGTAAATTAAGAAAAAATATCTATAAATGAAAAACAGCAGCCTGGGGAACAGCCCAGGCAAATTAACATTTATGGACTGCTCCTCAACATTGGCCTAAGGAGTGGAAAATCTCTTAAACCCTTGGCAAGCATGATCTCCCAGTTCGTCATAGCAGTGAATAATGCATTTGTGCAAATTATGTAAGCAGGACATGGTTTATATATTTATTAGATTCTCTGAATCTGAAAACTTATATCTGAAATGCAGCACCCCATACTGTATTTCATATTCCCTAATAGCATAGATGTGTTCTGCAACAGTGTAACAAGCACAATATTTTTCTCATTAAAATCACCAATCTTGCAGTAACTGTTTCCTCCACAGAGGCACGGCTTTAAATTGTCCCCTTCTTCCTTCAGGAGATTTCAGTCAGTTTGATTCTGAAGTTTACACCAATATAGTTTATTCTTTCCTTAAAAGTCAAACCGTTTGGTGTTTTATTTTGGCTATGCCCTTTTATGTGCAGTTTTCCTTTAAGTTGTTTTTATGTAATCACATGATTTTAAGACTGATCCTATTATACTGCTTCTCACAACTAGAGCCTGCTCTAGCAGGGGGGTTGGACTAGATGATCTCCTGAGGTCCCTTCCAACCCTTGCGATTCTGTGATTCTGTGATTCTGTGATACTGTGAGTCAGTAACACAGCATGAAAAATTAATGTTGTTTTCCACCAACTAATCCTGGAGTGATATTTAGCTGCCTCACACAATCCACTGGTTAATTCAATTGCAGTGTGTAACGACACATAACAAATTGCTCTATAGAGTAAAAAGTTTGCTGAAATAACTGAACCTGAAATTTCCTTTAAATGCCTCCAACTGCAAAGATTATGAATTCCTTACACTCTAATAATGAAAAAAAAAAACAAAACAAAACAAAACAAAAAAAACCAAACAAAGCAAGAACAAACAACTAGCTAAGAGTAGACTAACGATACTAAGCACTGGTTGTTTTCAGCTACATGGATAATTTAATGAAATCCTGTGGTTTCTGGACAATCCTTGATAGTAGCCTTGAAGCACTATATTCTAGAGAATTAACATTCAAACTTTAATTATTTCTTTGAAGGTTTTGAGTTTGTTTGGTTGCAGAGGCAAGGAGTTGCCAAAGCAAATGATAAAGTAAAAGTATGTTATTTTAAACAACAGCTTTTGAATATCTGATATTGAAAAAACAGAGGCAACATATCTAAATGCTCTAAAAATACCCTTTCTCCTCTTTATTGTGGAAGCAATGTATTGGATACAGCATTGTCCATTTTTAAAATTTCGTTGTATGGAATTGTCATCCACATAGTATTTTGCTACTGTTCAGATGACTTCTCCGAGTGTTATTATTTTCCTTATTTAAGTCCCTGATGGATATTATTGAGGATACTGTGACAAGCAACTGCTTGTGACTTTCCAAAAAAATTACCATGCAGATGTTTTGCTCTAAGAATCAACGTAACTTCCTGTTCAGCTTCCATATATGTCATGATAGTCATCAATAGTAAAGATATTTATTGTTATGAAAAATTAATTTACTATTCAGTGTTGTTTGTTTTTAAGGAAACTACCGAAATGCGCATGATGTTCTTTTCAGTATGTATTCAGAGTTAAAGACCCATAAGATAAAAATTCCTTCTGAGATGGCTACAAACCTGATGATCCTACACAGCTATATTTTAGTGAAGGTAATGTATTGAGAAACTGAATTTATGCATAAATCACACAGTCTGATTTATGGAACTGTACATATGGATGCTCTGTATACATAGATTAGTTTGTCATATAAGTTGTGTCAGAGAATCCAAGTGCATGCTAATAAGGACAACCCCGTACCTTTTGGCTGTTTCTGCCTCTTTGATTAGCATATTCTTTTCTTTAAATGATGAATAATTGAAAACCTACATATGTCTTTTCATATTTCCATTTTCATACTTACAAATACGTTATGCTGCTAGTACTATTGTTCATAAGGAGATCGCTGCTTTTCTGTAAATTCAATTAAGCAGGGGGGCTCAGGTGATTTCTAGTAGTTACCCCACGGCCCATCAGGATATCCATTCAGCCTACAGCCAGCGTCTGGCCTCCCCGTCTGCTAGCAGAGAGGCAAGAGCAAGCAAAGAGTGGGCTGAAGGCCAGAAAGCCTGTGCTGGGAAAGAGCCACTCTCAAGTCTCTGGTCCTTTCTCTAGCACATGATACGCCTATGCTCAGTTTCATGAAAGAGCCGTAGGCGTGTAGCTCCCGGAAGGATGAACGCCACGAGCAGGCTGCAGGAATTGCTCCCTGAAGGCTGCAGTTAATTCAATATGTTTGCTGTATTCCAGACTCATGTGAAACGTGGTGATCACGTGAAGGGAGCACGTATGCTTATACGCGTAGCCAACAACATCAGCAAGTTCCCATCACGTGAGTACTGGCAGCGTAGAAGAGCATGCTGTGCTCTATGGGACAATTCCTCAATCATTCTCCTCCTGTGATCCTATAGGGAACACAACACAGTGTAAATACACGGTGTGCTCTGCCATCCTCCACAGGATAGCCCTTGGATACACAGCCGCCAGGCTGGGTTCCTCACCTGCAGTTTAATCTGCCCTCGCCCACCGTAACTGCAGTGCTGAGCTGCCTGAACCACGCACCAAGTCTCAGGATCGTATGGAAGGAACTGATCGGTCCTGCGACTTTGTAACAAAATTTCAATCCATCTTCTCTTGAAAACACTTTTTGGGTACATGTAAAATGTAGACTGTAAACAGCGCAGGCCAGACTTGGGAGAAATGGTTATAATCAAAACATTCCTCCTGCCATGCTGAGTTTCAGAAAGGCAAGGCAGTGAGAGGTGAAACCACGATTTTCTTCTGTAGTGTTACAGGAATTGCACAAATTGTGCAACTGTGTACCACAAGGAAGAAGAAAAATACTGTTGTTTATTAGCTCAAAGGATTTCAACATTAATATTGGTAAATAAATATTTGACGTTGTTCATTCTCTTACAGACATTGTGCCAATTTTGACATCAGCTGTAATCGAGTGTCACAGAGCAGGATTGAAGAACTCAGCCTTCAGTTTTGCTGCTATGCTGATGAGGCCTGAGTATCGTAGTAAAATAGATCTTAAATACAAAAAGAAAATTGAAGCAATGGTCAGGTGAGCAGTGTTAATCTCTACTTTCAAATATACACAATACTAAGGCTTCATTTGTAATGTTATTTTTGCTCATAAAGCCTGTGGGCTTTATCCTGTTTTCGTATTGTTTTGTGGTCTTAAATTTGGAAGGCTAAGAACTATTCCTCTCCCCTCCACCACAACCACCACCACCCCCCCCCCAAAAAATTAAAGGCTCTTCTGTTCTCTTGGGCGCGATAAACCTTAAATGCAGCATGCATGTAAAATGCTTCCTGAGCAGCAGTACCATTTTCCATCTTGCCCATACAGCTTTACTTGCTCTCTGGTTAGGAATGTACACGTGACCCGTTAGCGACGGCAGCATCGGCGGTGTATGTGTGCCTGTGATGGCTGACTACTCTGCTGAGTAAATGGCTAAGATAAGAAAGAATGGAAGGGCAAATAAAATAGATGAATTCTTGACTTTGTCTTCCTTAGCAAAAGTTCTGTTTTGCCAGATGCTAAGCCAGTATTTTCTGCCAAAGGAGGAAGTGTGTGTCTCTGCTTGGAGCCACGTAAATTTTTAGCAAGGGATGACCTGTGACAGGGAGTTCCATTGTGTCAAGACTAGTCCCTAGCTGGCTTAATGGGCTGCTTTATAGTCTTCCTTCTGGGAGAGAGCTGGTCTTTTCTGGGTCACTGATGATTTTATAGAATTTTTTTTTTTTTTTAAACTTTTACAACCTTTTTGGAGGAGGCAGGACCGAAACGGCATACTGTATTTTAGATGTGGGCAACCCATGGATTTATGTAGTAGCAGAATGAGTCTCTGTTCCAGCCTACTTGACTTGCTTTGATTGTTTTTAATGTGAGCTGATGTTTTCATAGCAGATAGTACAGTTGCAAGATCTTGTTCCTAAGCAACAGCAGTTCAGAGTCCATCATCTTATATGTGGAAACTTCTTTCCAATAGGCCTTGCTTTGGCTTCCCCTGTGTCATCACATTATTTTCACTTACATTTTATGGGCATGCAGCTCAGCAGTAGGTTACCACAGATGTGTACTCTGAGAACTGCTTATCCTAGTCTATTTAGCAGCTTTTAACCTTTTTTTTTTCCAAAGTCATGCAAAGTTCTTCTAGTGCCCGCTTGTTAATATTCCTAGAACATTCTAGTAAGCTTCTAAAATATGACATCAATGTTAAAAGCCATGTTGACCCATTCCTAATCTATCATATTTAGCCACACCTCAGATTTCTTAAGTGGAGCCAAAGGCCCACTTTAGTGCCCAGGGTAATAAAACGGGAAATCAGCTTTTCTACAAGTATCACGATAACTTAAGGAAGCCATCTCAGTGTCTCCAAGGTTACCAGGGTTAAACATTAGGAAAGATATATCCTCTTCATTGGAAAATATGCTAAAATTGAATCTGAGTTCTTCATCTATAAATGTTCCATAGAAGATTAAACATTAAGAAAAGGTTTCTTTCCCCCCCTGCAGCCCAGGTGCTGTGATGTCTGGATCAGGACCATCATTCTGACCAACACAGGGATGAGAATGAGCCTGTGACAGGCAGGGTTATGAGCTGCACAGCCCTACAAAGATGCCAGTTTTAGGTCTTGTTACTTCAATTCTTTGTGGTGACTCCTGTCACAGAAAAATACTGAAATAGAGAAACCATAGCTTTGTATTCTATACATACAGACCCTGAGTTTTGAAATCTTTCAAAGTATTATAATCTGTTACAGCTTTAAAAAGGTTGTATTGTTTCAAATTAGATGGAAAATAACCTATTTCTCAGTTTACATAATTGTGATGAAGCTCAGTTGATAGTTATCTAGTAGAATATAAAATAGCAACTGGAAGCTATGCAAATAACTCCCAAGAAAAAACACTTGCTAAATATCAAAGGCCTTGTAAAACACCTTTGTTCAAGTTCAAAGCGCTTGAGGTTTTTATTCGCATTTATCTCACTTCTAGGCGTCCAGACACAACAGAGGCAGAGGAGCCAACAACCGCCTGTCCCTATTGCGCGTTCCAGCTCCCAGAGTGCGAACTTCTGTGTCCCGGCTGCAAAAACAATCTCCCGTACTGTATTGCAACGGTGAGTGTCTGCAGCGTGAGCCTGAACACAAAGCTCTCCTTTCCTTCTAAAAATATCATCTGGACATCTTTGGTTTGCTAGGAGATTCAAGCTAGATGCGTGACCTCAGCATTTCTTATACTGCTGATCCGTACAGGAAGAAGTTCTAACATTTTTGTTTCAGGATACTTTAAAGTGTACTGAAAAGGCTCTTCCACTGGGAAACGTACCCCACCTGTACCATGCATCCCCCTGGTATCACCATCAGTACAAAATCTTTATACTGAGGTTAGCTACTCTGTAGCTAACATTTTATTTTCATTAGGTTCAAGTGATTTCTGATACCAGAATTACAGCAAAATAAAAAATTACTTGAGCAGCAATCAAATGTTAGAGTTAAAATTCTTTATTAAAACTAAAGAATTAAGTCTTACAAAAAAATAGGAATGATCTATTTTTTTACTCTATTAGTTTAGCAGAGTAAGATGACCAGTATATTTCAGAAGTATTATCTTAAAGAAAAAAAAACACAAGGCTTTTAAATATCTTACGAGAGTCAGTGTCAGAACAGTCTGCTGCTGCATATTGTATTGGAGCATAAATCTCTCAATATAGTTCAAGGTGCTGTTGCATTTTTATAGTATTGAAAAGGTACACATGGATCCTTTTGATCAAAAGCAAATTAATAAACAATACCAAAGCAGAGGAAATAATTTCTGTTTAAAGAGGCGAGTGCCAGGCAGTCAGCATGCTCACAGACTCGGCAAGCATTGAATGTGACCTCCTGGGCTCAGGCTTTGGGGGCAGTTTTTGAATGTCATACGCAACACCAGAAATCCCAGGAGATTTACAAACATCTCTAGACATAGATGTACAGATAACATTCTAGAATTGCCAAACTAAAAGGATTTTAAAAGTTGTAGTTCAATACATTCTTAGTTTTCTTTTTTTAAAAAAGAGGAATGCAAATTATAATGAAAACTCTGCATCTCACCGAGAGCTCATTTTTTAGCTACAGAATTTATGCAGTAATCAAACTACAGTAACACTTACAGCTTCAGGGTTTTAATTCCTCTAAAGATCTTTAGAACTCAGTTGCTGAGACTTTTTCCCAGTAACAGGTACAAAACTGAACACCCGGTGTACTAGGACAGCGCATGCATTTAATCACTTGTGGCTTTTGCGTGCAGGGTCGGCATATGGTACGAGACGACTGGACGGCCTGCCCACACTGTGACTTCCCTGCCCTCTATTCAGAATTCAAGAAGTAAGTGGTTTGGTTCTTTTTTTTTCTGCAGGATTCCAATGTTTATTCTTCTTTTAGCAGCAAACGGCTTCACTTGGTACTAAAAAACATGTAATACCTGGGGGTGGAGGGTGGAAAAAGGAATCTCCCTTACGCAGTAGTTCCATCTCACACACGCACAGAACATCCCTTCAAAGTGGACCAAAAACTATGATAAAGAATGAACTCAGCCAGGGACGCGGGGCTCCAACAGCAGAGGCAGCTATGAAGATGGGTGGGGGGCTTCTGTCCTTCCAGGGAGAAAGCCCGTTACCAGGGCAAGGGGGAACACGGGCGCAGCAGCAGTCACCAAACCAAACCCAACCCGGGCAGTACTGGGACAGACAAAGGCAGCAATTACCTCCTCTCCTCAGTAGTCATCTGTGAGAGAACGGGACTAGAGAGCTCTCCTCAGATGTCAGGAACGGTGAAGCTGCAGAAACTTCATGTTCCAGCCTAAGCTCCTTCATGTACGTTTTAACTCACAAATTTTCCTCATGCCCATGTGAACAGCAGCAGCGTTCCTGTTGTGATGTTAGTTCTCAAATGTTAAAAAACAAATAAACCAACCTTTGCTCTGCCAAGACAGAAGCAGCGGTTGCTCTGGCCTGTTATACAGCGTAGGTCTCTGCTTCCTGCCCCAGGCCCAGCTGTTCCTTTGAAAACATTAGAATTATCATTTGACCAGTCACCCTTCTTTTCAAACAGCATGTTACAGACTGAAAACATGTGTCCAATGTGTTCTGAAAGGATTAACATCATTCATCTTAAGAAAATAAGTGATTGCACACAATACCTCAAACCAGAAGACGGGGAGCAGTAAATTCAGGTATGTGCTAGAGCCTGTAGTTTTTACTTAACAGGGTCATTCTCGAGGACAGGGGGAGTGTTTCCCAGCAAGGGAAATGCAGCATTCCAGAATCTAACTTACAGCCCGGCTGTGTGCCTCAGGTAACTGAGGCTCAGCTCTATCCTCAGGCATGCAAACAGCAGTAGGTTTTGCTACTCCAAGTAACACAGTGGTTAAACCATTCCCATTGTGAGGCTTTAAACCAGCTTACGTCTAGGATCATGAGGCTTTAAACAAGCTTACCTCTAGGATCACATTATCCTCTACACCCTGTTCTAGTTTGGAGTCTGTTCCTGAACACCACTTGTGCTTTAGTAGCACAGAGAACAGGCTGAAGATCTCAGCATTGTCAAATCCTTCTACAGATCTACCAACAAGCACGTAAGCGTAGAAAGAGCGTGATATGCTAACTAGAAGGAGCAGATCTAAAATGGAGGTTACATGGTCTTGGCTTAACAGAATCTAAGAATACGTCACAAGCAACTTAGTATTGGCTTGAAATACTCCTGTTTCAAAGGAGAAAACCACTGCTCGCTCTATGCCACAGACTTCGATCCAACACTTCGGTTCTGTTAAAGGAATGGCAACTGAAAATCAGTTAACAAAGTCCCTCCCTAATTTGACATTTGAAGGCAGATTTACCAGTGCAAACACCTTATGTGAAAGCTTTGACCTATACAGTCTAAATAACATACGTACAAGTGATATTATAAAAATCACATATACCACAATTTAGAGTTTGGGGTTTTTCTTCTGTCTGAGCAACCCCTGCAGGTTGCTGTCACAGTCTCTGTAGCTTGGGATACAACTAACTGCCTCTCTCTATTTTCAGAACTGCAGGTGTTGTCTGGCACGCAGCGAGGAAAGCTCTGTCACTACATTACACATCTTTTCCCCACTAGGATCTCGTAACAACCACCATGCCACTTCTATTTTGTGACAGCCTGTAAATACTTAGCTTTTGATAAATTTTGTACTTTGATTTGTTATAGTAATAAAACTGATTATTGATGATTCTTACCAAGCAAAATTTGCATTTTATCTGCACCAAAGACAAAACCAAGGGGCATTCTGTGTTACGTGAGCAGTAAGAAAAAAAAAACCAAACCAAACCCTAGTATTCTCTTCTCAACATCAGTCCTGGACTTTCATGACTATTTGCTATGACACATTTCTTAATCCCGAAATATTCCTTTCTGGTTTTGATTAAAGATACAACTTGTAAGCACAGGCTCCTCAAGCCAAGCTTGGAACTAAATCCCTCACTGCTTTTCTGTGTCTTTAACTCAGCAAAAGGGAAGTTGTAGGAAAAGAATATAACCACATCCTGTACATGCAGGAAAGCCAGGCCCTTAGAAGAAAAGAGAGACAGAACGCTCCATGAACTTAACCAGAATTTTAGAAGATTCCTGTGAAACTTTTTATTGTACTTTTATACACTGCTTACTTTCTATAATGTACAAATACGCAGTTTAGGTTTGGGGGGTTGTTTTGTATCATGTACTATTTACAAGAGTTCAGCACATAATATTGGGGACTTATTAAAAAAAAAAAAAAAAAGACCCAAGCAAGTGAAGTCCTAGGAAGACTTGGTATAAATGCCAGGTAACTAAGCATCACGTTTTCATCACGTTCACGCACCGCGGTGTTTGTTGTATGAGGACAGTTCTAGCCTGTAACGTTGTAGCACGTTAAGAGTAAGTACAGCACTGCATAGTGAGAGAGTACAGTAGCTACATCACCTCTATAAGAGGAGCGTCTTCAATGCACTGGTTCCACCTTCCCAGCTCCATCACCAGACCGGTTTCATCTTCCTGCCAGAAGTCAGATAAGCCAAGCTGCATCCATAGCAAGATTTTACTCTGTTTAATGTCTTGTTTTCTCTTTTCTTTTCCCTTCTTTTTTTGTTGTTTCTTCGCTTTTCTCTTTTTTTGACATCTTGGAAGACTTCGCCTTTTTTTGCTACAAACAGAACACACAGACAATTTGAATTCCAACTGCAACCTGACAGAAGCCTAAGCCAAGACGCATTCAGTGCTGAAAGAAAAAACCCATCTCTGCTCTTCCCCTCCCCTTCCACGTATCCAGTTTTTAAATGCCACTCTACAACGGCCAGTCAGAAGGGCTGGCCGCAGTTCCCCAATTTAGCGATACGTACCAAGGGCGTTACAGAACTGCCCCCTGTGATGACCACAAGCAAAGGGCTGTGGCTGCTCCTTACCAGTGGCACCGTCCCCATCCAAAATACGACTAAGCGTTGGAATCAGATAGGGTATTCACCAGTGATGCCCCACTCTGGTCCAACATTCAAGCAGAAAATAACAGACGGAAATCACTTAAGACTTTTTCACACTACTAGTAATTAGGAATTCAAAAGTTGAGAGATGATGTATTTTACATCTACTATGGGTTTTTTCTGTTTGGTTTTTTTGCTAGTTTGTTTTAGTTCAGATGATGTTACAAGTCCCAGAGAGGTAACTGAGGAGGAAACAGTTTAGTGTGGTTGTTTTAACACTGCAGAAACTAAGTCACCTTAATCATTGCATCACTTTCAACAGTATCTTGCTCATCCTCATCAGACTGGATCTCTTCCACATTCAAGTCTTCAGTCAGTTCCAAGGTCACTGCAGATCCCGACTGCCTTTTAGATGTCTTAACAGAACTAAGTGAATATGGAGTCAGATGTGCCTCCTTGTTGTAGGCACGTGTAAAAGCTGCTTTGACCTGTTGGGTTGAAAAGAAACACTATGAGCATCAGCTTAGGAACCATAGATTGTTAGCTAACCAACTCTTGGCTACAGATTCCAGATCATCTTTCCTTTGGGAAGATGTGACAAAAGGTTTGTAGAAGAGGACACTATCTTAAAAGGACGCAGAAAGCATCTGGGAGCTGTATGGTGAAGGCTTATTTTAAGCGAGTCCCACACAATCCTCAGATAAATTGTGCATCTTCAGATGCTTCTCACTTAGGCCTCCGATAATTTCAGCACTGTTGTTCTGCTGCCACCTAATCCAAGCCACTTACACCAAAGCCACCCGCAGCAGCACCAAACCCCTGCCACACTGGAGCAGCGCACTGGAGCAAGGAGCACAGGTTTAGTTATCAGCAGAGAAGATTCTTCTCTGTCTTGACCTGGGCTGGGGGAGATCCTGGTTCAGATCTCACACCTGCCAAGTTTGTAGCAGGGACCTGAGCTTAAGCTCCCCTTGTACCAGACAAGGGCCCCAGCCACTGAGGCAGCAGACTGGCTGCATACTAGAAGAGCCCCACACAAATCGCCCCCCGGTCTGGCAGTTCAGTCTAGCAGGACGGTAAAAGGTGCAAGCTGGGAGCCAGCTTCTGACCTCAGTGCCCACAGCATAACAAATAGCTGTGCATCCCTGCTATACGTAGGGGTGGTTTGCCTGTAGGAAGGTACCAGCTTTCCAGGTCCCTTCCCTGTTCTACCTCTATGCCCCAGACACAGCCGACTGCCAATGATCCCTTACACCAGGAACAGGTGTCAGACCACCGAGCAAGCACAGCCTGACTGCCTTTTGGGACATACCCCCAAACCCTTCAGTGGTATGTTGGACAGCTGATCTGCAAAGACTGCCATTAATTAAATCACAGTTAATAAAATTGCTCATTTGCAGCTGCACCAGCTTCAGCCTTCCAGCAGCACGCCCATAAGACAAGGAAAAAAAATCACTAGTTTTACCTTGGGATCCAGCTTTGAAAAAGGACTGGGCTTGCCTCCCCACGTGCTTATTTCCATGATATTTTCAATATCTTCTTTCATCAAGCAGTACGAGTCCATGAACGTTATCGCTGTTTGTACACCATCTGCTCCAAAGTCTTGCAAGGGCTGGACAAGTGCATCCCGCAAATATGACAAATACTCCATGTTCACTGTCCTCTTGCATGTCTGGGTTCTTTGTCAAATTGAAAGTAGTAAGTAAATCTGTACAGCCACCACCACTCACTTCTAAACACAAAGCAACCTGCAGGCAGGCCCCCAGCAAATGGATTATCAGCTGCCCTAAGAGTCAACCGCAAGTTGTACCGTGCCATTCCTTTTGCCATGCCTGCATTTGGGATAACCCCAGCAAGGCATTCCAACACCCAACAGTCTGGGGAAACACATCCCTAACTGAGAAACAACAGCCGGGGGGGGCAGGGGGGTGTCATAGTACTCATGACTATACTAAAAAAGTCTTTGCAGTCTGATTGTTGTCCAGATTAAGTGCTAAGAGAGCGTCACCAGCAGCAGGAGAGGATATTCACAGCCAAGCACAGCAAGGAGTTAACAGTCGGTAACTGAACTACATGAGAAATAAATACCTGTGTCAATCCAAATCGGAAGAGGAATGTCAGTCGTACCTGAGGCTCATGTGCATTGCCAGTTCTTGAATGATCCGATCGTGTTTGCCTGTGGATGAAAATTTCCCCAGCCAGCTGGGAAAGACAGGAAACTGGGACATGTAACCTCTCATCAGCTCCCCCGGGAGAACGCTTGCATAAATAGCCTGAAAAAGTAACACGCAGTCAATGAGTCTCACTGACACCAGGACACGCTACCCGACTTGCCCGCAGGGAAGGGGGTCGTGAATACAGTTCCCCAGGGGAAACAGCTCGTTTTAGGAGAACTTGTTTCTTGGTTGCTTGTTTCTGTTCAATCCCTTTTAGGTTACAGCTTCATCTCTTGTACCACCCTATTTGTTACCATGTTCTAAAATATCTCTGAGATTACCTGGGTTTTAAAAGCCATTAAAAAAAAAAAAAAAAAAAAAAGCCTGTTCATTTCTCCTTTTAGACTGCAGTCAGACAAACACCTGACTTCACACAACCAAGGGCTGTAGTCTCCAGCAGATGGAGATGGTGAAGGATACAATTCCAAAGAACACCACGAATCCACATGAAGTCAGCAAAGTTCCTAAGCAGCTTAGCTGTTTGGACCTGCGCTAAGCAGGGGGGGAACTAGATGACCTCCAGAGGTCCATTCCAACTTAATCTACGATACGTTCTCTGATAGCAGTCATAATCCTTTAAGCACAAGCCTTGTTAAGGTTTCAGTGGTCATTAAAAGTAGTGCAGCGACAATGCTTTGCTACTCTGTGCTTTAGGAGAAATCCTGGCCTGTTGAGAGTCTGGGGTAGGAAGCACACAAATAAAATGGAGTAGGCTTGTAACTGCATGTCAGAAGTGATACGTGCCACGTGCTCCACAGAGAAACTTCAAGCTTCTTGAAGTTTCAGAAGACTTCGTTTCACTTCAACACTATAAGTATGGGAAGCTGGTCTACTCGCCAACAGAACATTGCATGAAGTATGAACTCTACCAGTCAAAATTATAATGATACACCAATTTCAAGGGATCGGTCTTTTACACTGGACACACACAAAGCACGTAAAATGGGGTAAGTGCTCACCTGCGTCGGAAGAAGGTTCCAGTTTTGCTTGCTACGAATTTGTCTGTCCACTATATCACCATCACATATGCTATCAGCTGCTCTACTCAAGAGCACCAAGTGCTTTTTCAGATTTCCTCTGGAAAACAACACAAGTTGATTGCATTGCAAAGCAGAAATATCCAGATAGGTTTTAGCCTAGTTTTACTCCCTGACACAAAAGCCTATGTCAGTTCAGGGTATGGAATAACTCACCCAGCAGCAGCTGGTTTCACATGTACGTAGTTCTCTTGGACAAAGAGAGGTGCTAGGGAATAATCGTGGAAGAAAAGATCCGATTTGTCTATAAGAGACATACGAGAAGCCTCTTCTCCAGTAGCAAAAACCTTCCGGACAACATCAAAAGGGCCCTAAGTAAATGATATTCAAGACATCAGAGGGCTGCAGGTTAACACAAGTGATGAGACACAGCACATCAACAAAATCACTTTAGTGATGGTACCCAACAATATCTGGACTCATCAAGTTCAACATCCAGTATTCCCTTCCTAGTGCTTTACCAGTTTCAAGAATGGAGTTTTACTTCCGATATTAAGAGAATTATCTCCTAAATAGAGGACTTGGGATGAGAAGTACAAGCTTCATAATTGCATCTTACATAAGAGACTGGTACATCAAAAAAAATACACTCAGTCCTGGATTTACAGCTCTTCAACTATTTGTGGCAAGTTTGACAGCTCCTTGCATCTACGCTATCAATGCTTCAGTTCAGAAGATGCTTATAAAGCCCAGCGATTATATCAGAATACTAAAGTAAAAGCCAACCCAGTATTTTACACTTACCAGTTTGATATCCTTTTTGGCTCTGCTGCCATCCATTTTAGCCTCATCATAAGTCAATGATTTATCTTTTGCACACCACATATTAAGATTATGTAAAACCTAAAAACCAAAATTGACAATTTGGTAGCATAACAGCATTTAGATGGAAGATTTGAGTGGAAAACAGCCTGTTCTCTATACATAAACATAGTAATATCCAAGTCAAGGACTTATACATGATGTGCTCCCTGAACGGATGCTGATGCTGAATTGGCACTGACCTGTCTGATGTCCTGATTTGCTGCCAGGATTATCTCTTGCATTGCAGGTGGTGGAATTTTTAAACCTTCTTTAAATGCAATAGACATCATGGCACCCTGCAATACATACAATTGAGAAACTGTCAACAGAATTCCTATGAATTCTTCCCCCTACAGAACACACTGACACACCTATGAAAGAGCGCTAGTATATTTTCTAGGGATTTTTTTGAAGCACATATAATTAAAATTTTCCTCTCATAAACATAAGTCATCCCTTGGTGTACAAAAAAAAGCACATAATTTTAAAAAAATCTTTGGATATATTGGATATATTTGGATAGACTTCTAAAGCTGGAATGTCTTGCAATACTTCATTCTTTGGGAAGAAAAACTCAAGACAATGCATTTTGAAAAGCAGAGTAACTCACTGAATGAACACTGATCCATTAAGTTTTAAGTGGTGTTTCCAATTCTCTCTGAGTTCTGCCACGTGAAGACAGAAGTTACTGACGGTAATTCAGGGCAGCCCACACAGCCACAGCCTTCTTACCTTAATCTGTTCTAGACGAGGTCTCTGAAAACGAAGATCAAAACAGTAGTGGACCAACGAACGCATTTTAGGATGGTTGCGATCATTACACATACAGATGATGGGTATCTTTGTGTGTCTGATCAAACCAATCAACTCCTGTGGTTTAAACACAATACAACAATTACATTAGAATCCTCAGAGATTGATTAAAATGTCACACCAAGCAGCATTAGTCCCTGCCGTAAATCAGATCCTTGACAGACCTAAGTCTCTAAAACTCCTCCTACGGTAATCATGTTTCTAACACAGTGAAAATCTAGCCCCTCTCCTACTTTTTTCACTTGCTATTCTATTCAGCTGCAGTAAGTCTGCTGTCTACCCACTTTCAGCAACGATGTTTGGACCATTCTTCATCAAGCAATGAAGATCAGTAGCCCAGAGTAGGGCAGTCCACCTGCAGAATTATATTCGTTTGTCCAAAGGCCAGTTTGACCTGGCCTCTGCCCAGAGGGAGCACGCATCTTTCTGACTGCACCCTGCCACAAACAACAAAGCAGCAGGCAATAAGAGATCAGCTCTTCCCTGCCCAAAGAGCTCAACCCTGAGGCTTCAGCATTATTAGGCTTACAGAGCAAACTTTGTCTGCTCTAATGAAAGTGCAATTCAGTTCAATTTCATATTCCTGCAATGTAAACACCTGCATCTGAACTGAGGATCTGTATGCCCTTTATTGTCAAATTATTGCTCGTGACCATAGGAAATCTTCAGAAGCTAAAACTGGAGCTGCTGAGGAGAACAAAGCGTAATACCGCCCGTGCCACATTGTTTATTCAGCATTACTGCCTACTGAAGAGAGCAACTGTCCCAGTCAGATTACAAAACTCCCACTGCAGGTAGATGTCAGCAAGCACAGACCTTAGGATAAATTCACTTGTCCAGGAATAAACACCTAAAGTGCATACACCCAAGCTCATCACTCCAGGTTTCTTTTACAGAAGTATCTTTTTCCCCCCTCTACCAACGCGTAATTCTTCTTACACAAAGACAGGCTTCGAAAATAGGTCAAATAAACTGTACTCTGCAGAAACTTTCTATGGACCATGGGTTGAGGACAGTAGACTAGCTTGAAATATTTTGTGCTATATATGGTATGCACTCTTAGCAATGGCATTAGCTAATAACTATAGCAGTTTCACCTGAATCCCTCCTCTGTCTTCATTGCCTGCCATACCATCCACTTCATCCATGATCAATACATGTTTCCCGCTAACTGATGAGGATGTGCCTGAAAATGAATATGGACAAGAAAATGAGATGGGAATAAAATAGGGTCTTCCTCAGAGTTTTACCCAATGCTTTATAGGTTAGGTAAGCCCATCCTACACAACTGAGGTGGTGGTGAATCTATGTTCACAGAATAGAACTGACTATAACCTCATGTCATCTTCCAAGAAACAAGTCCCATACAACAGAAGAGCAACTGCAGAGTTCTTGAGTGGTTTGTGCGGATTAACAACAGATTTTACTGATAGCGATATTTAATTATGCAACTGAAGATGAAATAAAACAGCTTACTAAATGAAACCATCCCGCCACGTGATGAGCAACTTAAATTCCTAACACTGTTGTGTAATAAGGAAGCTCTGTCCCTCCTGTAAGCTCTTAACAACAAAAATCCTCCTTCAAACAACAGACATACCAGCACAGAAGTCTTTGATACTGGTGTTGTTAAGTGATTCAGCAACTACTTCCTTTAGACTGGTCTTACTGCGAGTGTCACTGGCATTCAGCTCCACATAGCTATACCCCAGTTCCTAGTCAAAACACAAAAAAACACGAGAACATAGATCAGTGAAAGAGCATACACATACTCAAAATTAGAAACAGCATTTCAGAGTTCGAGAAGAAAGCTCTTGCAACACCATTTTCACATATAAATTGTGGCTTTGAGTCCTTTTTCTCCTTAATAACCCTTTTTTCCTCACATTCCAAAAATATTTATAACCAGACATGGAACAGATATGCCCAAAAGAGAGCTTTGGGTTGGGGGTGGGGGGGAAGTCAGTAGCACAGATTTAGTTCTGAAGGATTACCAGAACCGCCACCAGGGATAGAAACAGAACTATGAGCCAAGGCTGGCTAAGCTCCATGGTATTTCCAGCTGCACATTGAAGTCTCACACACAAAGAGTCAGGACAAGAAACATGCCACATCCCTCTGAAAGCTGAAGGGAAGAGAAGCTTTTAACTATTTAACAGCTAGGAAACAGACAGCTCCCCCAGCAGTCCTAACGCTTCAGAACAGGGCTGGGCTACACGTCGGTCCCTGAAAGTAACTCAGCTGCTCCTTGATCAGCAAACCCCCCTGCCAGGGGCATGCCATGGCACAGCAGCAAGGCACACACAGCTCCATTCTTACAGCTTGAACAGCCCAGCTTTCCTGGCTACTCCTGCGGAGCACAGCGAAATGCTCTGCAGAGACCTGAAGCAGCTGTGAGCAAGTTAGGTTGGAAACTAGAAGCAGGAAAAGACCATGCTAGTGCAGAAGCGAGCAGAAGTCAGCACATCCAGCTTCTCTGCAAGTCTGGTTTTGGGTGCAGCATCAGCTGGTTGGCGCAAAGCTCTGAAGTGTGGGGGGGGACACGACACAAGACCTGGGAGTTACTCTACAGAAGTCAGATGTTGAGATAAGTTATCACTCCTTCCCAGTGCAAACATCAGATAGTTGACAATAGCTCTCAACTCTTCCAAGCTGGTAGCATCCCATTCTAAGAAAGTTCTTGCAAGTCAGAAGATCAAAAATAATCTGTAAGTTGTTCCAACAACACTATTAATAAGTTAGCTTTAATGGTATTTCTACAATATGGAGTTCTCAGCTGATTCTCATGACAGAGTTAGTGGAACACAGTGTTCCAGTAAGTTAGGAAAAACTAATTTCTGAATTCAGATTTAGAAATGGACGCACAGCCCTGTCAACTTCTCTCATCCTAAAGTAGTATTTGAATTTAGAACGAGCCTGGGAAAGATATCGTTGTTAGATACATAAAAGCCATGATTGAGTCTGTCACCAAAACTTCCAAAGAGCTTGACAGAATTAGAGTTCCACTAAATTTAGTGCAAATATTCTCTGACTTGTAGAACTAATGCTGAATGCTCATAGTTTTTTAAAACCATTTCCATTTGTTCAACATACTGCAGTGTGCTGCCTCTCAATATAACAAAAATAAACACAGACACCCATTGCTATATTCTCACCCCAGACCTGATAAAGGTACCTAAACATCCACACATTTTCAGCTGTAACCCTGTCCCGTGCAGGTGGAACTAGGCTGGGAGCAGACCCTGGTAATTCAGGGGATATCCACCTGCACACACCAATACATAACAAACTGTGCTGGGAACAACTGTTATCATGAACTTACCTTACAAACCAAAGAAGCTGTAGTAGTTTTACCAACTCCAGGTGGACCAGAAAGTAATGCTGCTTTAAAACCACTACCATCATCTTTGCCTCCGGTTTTATTGGCCTTTGCTATAAAAGAAGATTCCAGGTTTTACCTAGGTATGCATTACAAAACAAACTGCATACGTCATTTAAATCTTTACAGGTATCAAGCATCACTGGGGTTTTTCCTAATTTAAGGCTTGATATGAAAAATGCATACACATCTACATCTAACCATTTGGGAAAAAATTAAGATGGTTTAAACAGCTTAAGACTTGCAGTGACACTATACATGACATGGGCTGCTTGTCAGGCAGAACCAGCACCTTAACAATTCATCTCTTCCCAATGCACGATGGCAGCCCTTTAGACACGTTGCTATGCTGCACCTTCACCATGTGTACAGACAGGTTAGCACTGGCCAACATTTCTCTTGGTGAGAAAGAATTCACTAGGCTGAATATGAAGCCATTTTTATACACATTACTGCTAGGTTATTTTGGGGTTTTTTGGAAAAAAAATATCACATTTAAGAGAATACCACAAGACTTAAAAAATATCTTCAGACAGAGTTTGCTTTTCTGGTTTTGGGAGGGGTTTTTGGAGGGGACCAGGGGGCGTGGAGCAGTGCTTCAACAAAAAAAGAAAAAAATACTCTGGCTCAACTGCTGCTAGAATGCATCCAACTACAGCCTGTTTCCCCATTTCTAGAGTCGCTCTGCTATCCCAAAGGCCCTTATCAGCCCAGGGAACCAAGCAGCGCCATCAGCACGGAAGAACACAGAAGTTAACCACACTGGTCACCTTGTCCATCTTCTGAGGTATTCTTGTGCCAATTTCGGAGCCATCGGAGCAGTTTATTGGCACAGCTTTGCTCACCCTGCTGTCCAATTATTGCCTTAAGAGACACAGGCTTGTATTTATCTACCCATAGCAACTTCTCTGTTCCATCTTCATTAATCTCAGAAACCAAGTTCCCCTTAGGTTTTGGGACTTCTTTCTTCTCTACAGTCTGCCGTTTGAAGTCCATAAGCTTTCGAACTGCAGTGGTTTCTTTCTTGGCAGATTTGACAGTATCTCCTTTTTCAGGAGTAGACTTGTATTTTTTATTATCAGCTTCCCTTTTGAAGGGGCTAAAATTCCTTTTTCCAGTTTCAGCTTTCTGTGGTGTCCTTTTAGGTCTTGACTCCACTTTCTTTGCCTTAGGAAAATAAAGGTAGGAAAATTAAAGGGGTATTTCAAAAACCCATACAGTAAACAAACATGCTGTCTTTGAACACATGTCCAAGAGCTCTTAAGTAATAAAGCCTATGTATTGATATAAAAAACCTTCAAAATCAGATAAAGAAGTAGTTTTCTCTGAAAAATAAACCACTGTTAAACACAATGCCACCTGGTTCCGTAGCACAACCCAAAAAAGAGGCAGGAAATGTTGTGGTCATTCCAAGAGCAGTCCCCTTACTCACAAAGCCTGATTCTTCATAAAAACAAAAAAATACCAAAAAAAAAAACCCCACCACCAACACAAAACTGATGATTGTCAGGTTGGAGTAAATGGGCCAGGCACCCAGGAAGCTCTTACAAAACAACACTTCCAGAAAGTGTTCAACCCAAAACAATTCAAAGGGAGTGTAAGTAATTAGCTGGTAAGCTTGCAGTTGCTTTTCCTTAAGACACCGATAGTATCTTTACATGCAACAATTCGTGTCTAGCCACATCAGAAGTACCAAAGCAACATCTGCACAGAATGCACAACATGCTAGAGCTAACAGAGATTTTTAGTAACACCTTGTCAGCCACTACAGACTAAATCTAAAATGTGCATAAAAAAATTGTTAATTTTTCTTTTACAGTATTCCCTGAAAAATTTACCTTTAATATTATTAGTTCAAGTACCACATAAAGACAAAATCTGTTATGTATACACAGTTTACATATAGTTGTCCCATGTTTACAGCACAATTTTATACTGGGCCTGTCTGGGTACCACACAGTATCAGTCACAAGGACTTATTTCAAAGAATAAATAAATACTGAAAAGTTTAAAACTGAAACCATCTAAGGAGATACAATTACCCCCTCAGTCAGAAACCTAAAATACAGAATAATGTCAGAGTAAAAAATGAAAGGTGTGAAAAAAGCCCATAGCTCCCAAATAGAAGTTTTAAACACAAACATAAAATTTTTACTTTCAATACTTTTAACCTACAAAGTCAAACTGACAATCGTAGGATTACTGTTACTAGAACAGAAGACCAAAACTCTTTTCAGTTAAAAACAAACCAAACCAAAAAAAAGCAAAAAAAAAAAAAACAAAAAAAAACCCCACCAAACCAAAAAAAACCCCCACAACACACCAAACACACATAACACCACCCTCAACATTTATTATAAACAAACCTCTGTTTCAGCTGCCAGCTCATATTTGGACTTTTTGCCTGGCATAGTTCGAATAAGATCAAACAGGCCATCCTCATTAATAACTTTTGTCCCTAAAGTTGATGCCTGGAAAGTGAGAATTAAAAGTCAAGTCAAGCCAAGTTAGGAGTCACGTAATTCACTCCAAAGTGCTTTCCAGTAAAGACTATGTTCAGGAACACAACAACAAAAAGGGGTTTTTATATATATATGTGTGTGTACGCACGGGTATACATATAAATAAAAACAAAGCAAAACCTAAAACATTAGGCAACTTTTGCTTTTTAACACACACTTTGTTGGTAGTACTGCCTCCTTTCGGCAGAGATACTGAACATCAACAGAGTTAGATATGTACAATTCAGTTTCACTTCTACTTGGCTCACACACAGGAAGGCTCACCTTTTCACATTTAGATTGGCCACAGTCTCGCCCCATAACCAGATAGTTTGTCTTCTTGCTGACATTGCCAGTTACTTTTCCTCCATAGCGTTCAATCAGAGACTTGGCATCATCTCTTTCAATGCATTCCAGAACGCCTGTAATTACGAATGTCAGGCCTTCCAAGCAGTTTTCAGCCCCCTGAGAACCAGAGCATTACAGAAAACGCCATCATCCGATACAATTCTACCAAATACCTCTTCACCATAAACTTTTTAACCCCCTACCATGTCAAGTACCCTACGAAACTTTAAAAATAAGTCTACGCTACCTAGCTAGGTAATAGTTCCAAAAGCTAAAAAAACATTAAAAGGAATAGCTACCAACAAAACCTCACACATTGTTCACCTGACTGATCATACTCTTAACGCTCTGTGCATCAAGCATAGCATGTCAGTCAAACGAGTCACGGCCATCTTCAATTTTAAGACCAGTAACTATTTTTCATCATTATGACTTCATAAACCAACCACTGAATCTAATTTCTTCGAATATTTCCTTATACATAGTCACTGCTTTGCATTACAATTTAGCTTTTTCCAATATGTACTTCCTAGTTGAAAAAAAACAACAGTTTTTAAATAGTTTAGTTGATACTTGTTTCATTGGTTATAAAAGTAAGTCTATGACACGCTCCACTTCTAGATATAGAATTCTGCTGTAGCCAAACTTACCTGTGGTATCTCTTTGGAACCCAGCGCTTTCGGACCCTCACGATTAAGGAAGCTTCGGTAGGCTTGGTAATTGATTCGCTTCTTTTCAGAATCCTCAGGACTTACAGACTGTGGGAGGAGGGAAAAAAAATAATACACATATTACATACATAAGAACAACGAAATAAACTCAAGCATCAGTTTAAGACGTTTTTACGCATCAAAGTTTAACACTGGTTTTTAATCCATTAACATGCATTACTGAAGCTTATTCTGGTTTTGGTACTTGTGTTTTGAGGTATTTTTTGCTGTTATTTTTAAAGAGATTTCAAAAACTCACCTGAGAGTTTAGAACTATGTATCTGTTGTTTATTGTCATGTTTCTGTAGATTCAACTGTATCTCACATGTACATGCTCACTTAGATCATAAACTGTTGCTTTAAATTCTCATTTTATTTCAGAATGACGATCAGGTATGACAAGATCTACACTTACATAAAGTCTGCTTTGTAGTATTTCTACTTTTAAGAGACAGTTAAGCTTTTTAATCAGTAAAAAATTATTTAAAACTCACCTCCAAAAGAGTTGCAGGCTCTCCCTCCCCATCACAACTGTTAAATTTAAGTGTCAAAATCGGGTATTTTGTACTTTATGATTAAAAAGTATGTTTTAAGGTTGCCAATAACTGCCAGTGTGTTCAATAATTAATTAGTGAATCAGACAGATAAAAGAAAACTAAATTCTATTTCTACAAAATGTATCAACCGTAAGAAATATAGTTCAGAAATTGGGGGTGTGTGTGTGTAAAAAAACCAATGCCATTTATCATGCTAACAGCAGTATAGCTCCACAAGGTCACCATGCTCACATAAACAGTAAGCTTTCACTCACTAAGTGTGTGTCAGAATTCCTGCATTCTGCATTTTTTCAGGGAAGTTAAATGTGAAAAAGCACTGAACTGATTTTGCAGTGTACATGCATACCTTAACAAGCATTAAAGAACACTCAGTTCCGTCATGCATTTAATTTACAGTATTCCATCTGATTTCTTTTTCCCCCGTATTTTTACAACTGCAAGAAACTTAAAATTTACCAGAACTCAAATTCTTAAAAATTGGCCAGAAGATTCAAAGTTACAACAGTGACACATAAACAGTAACATCTCAAAATTACTTTCCTGCAAACTCCACACCAAGCCAACTAAACTCATTTTGGTAGCTCCTACCTCAGACTATACTAAACTTTGATGATTTCTTTCCTTTTCAGCAGCCTCTTCTTTTTGTTTCAGAGACACAAGCTTAGAGCTAGGTTTCAAAGGCAAGGTCTTCCCTGTCAACTCTCTCGCTATTTTACCATCAGATGATTGTGGGGATAAATGAGAGCCTTTTGAATGTTCAGATTTAGTTTGCTGCTTAGCAGTGTAATTCTTCGCTTCGCTTGTCGAGTTTGTTGCTTTCACTTGAAAAGAGGCAGAGAACATATGTAAGAATGCATCTCATTAATATTATATATTGGTGAAATGTTTTCTGTATTCTGTGTCCTACCTCCTTCCGACTGCTTATGTCTTTCTGTCACATTAGGACTGCTCTTGATGCTCAGTACTGCTTGTTCTCCTCCTGAATCTTTCCGAGCCTAAACAAACACACAGTGACAAAGTCAGAGATGTATGTCCCCAGCTACCATAAAGTCTAGATCCCCGAGTTCCCCTACTGTTAAGTACAACAGACTGAACGTCATCTAACAAAGCTGATCCCTACCACAAGTCAGGATACAATCTCTGCCAAAGGCAGGCAGATGAGCTGCCATGCATTCAGCCACGCACATAATCATTCTTTAAGTCAAAGGCCAAACTTCCAGGTTACAGTAAATTTCAATCCTAACTGGTTTCTTGATTAGTCTAGAAGTACTAATACTTGCTATGTTCAAATTAGCAATTCTAAATTCTAAGAGCCTTGATGTACAACTCCGCAAATGTTTTACTGCTCCTTACACCACAAGCTACGAGAACTGGGAAGATTCCTGACACTCAGGTTAGTCTCAAAACTCTCAAGATCCCTGCTTGCCCCTTCTCTCAAAGCAAGGAGAGTATTCTCCTCCTTCCTCTCTTCCTCCCATCACATTTCACCAACTTGCGCTATTGACTCACTTTACTTGATGTGGTCCTCCTGAACCAACAGAGCTATCGCTGATCTAAAGCATGAGTCTTCAGCAACACACTTCACTCAATTAGAACTAGAACTTAAAATCCCATTTCAACAGAAGCAGGTAGAACAAAGATACAACGATGCCTGCTGTTTGATTAGGAAGGACACTATTTACTGAGTGAGAAAAATCCAGGAGGGAAGTATGAATAGCAAGTATGTTTTTTTCATGCAAACACTTTCTTGCTATTTTTAATGTGTTTGTATGACAGTCTCAAAAAAAGGTTAGGTGTCTAACTAAGAATGCTCCCAACAATGCAATTTCTAAAAACTAAAGTTTAAAAATAATTCAACCTTTTTCTTCTGCGGCGTCTCATCCAACATGGCCAAAGTTTTAGCAAATTCTTCATCTTCATGCAGCTGTCTCTCCAGCTGAAAAGAAAAAAAAATAAAAGGAAAAAAGATATTTTTAGCTCACGTCTGACAAGTTTTAATTCTACTAGAATTTTTTAAAACTATTTGCTGTTCAGAACAAAAAGTTTATCTAAAATGAGACAGCACATAGCTGGAAAAAGTGCATCTTACTAAAGGCAAATAAATTTCTGAAAGTGGCCCTGGAGAATTACTTGTTTCCCCCAAAGAGAGAGACTGAAGTCTAGTGAGACAAGTAGAGTTTAATTTGTTGCACTAGAAACATTAATAAGCCGGTTATAACCTGTTTTCAAAGAGGTTTCCTGTTCCTTCATATTTTTTATTGCTATATGTCCTTTTCATTTAATAAACAGTCAAAACTCAAAGGCAGGATCTCACAACAACCAGCTTGCACCGAGATGCAACCTGTCGGCTTTAGAAAACTTCCAAAAGCAGTCCCAAAACACAAGTAGGAACAATGCCTGCGAAGTATTACGATGTCTCAATAATGAATGTTTCATTCTCATTTACTGCTAGCAACACACCACATGAAAAAAAATTCTGGCAATTTTGGAGAATTTAGCCAATTTAGCTCTCCTTGCCCATTCTGTTTACTTTATGGAAACAAACATACTTTAACATTTCTACTTTTTAATATTTCTACCTATGCAACTGATTTTCTTTGACAGAAGAATGAGTAAGAATGAATACTGTACATGGAACCTGAGAAAGCTATTTATTAATTGTAAAAAAACAAAGCCAGGTTGGTTTTTATTTCACCTAACAAAATAAATGTGACCTCTACAGCGGTCATCAATCACCTTTCCTAACCAACACAGCCCCTTTCTACTCCTGAATAGTGTATATTGTTGCCAATAAACATTGCCCATTGTTTTAACAACACAACAACAAAAATCCTTTCATAACTGTCTTAAAGTCCAACATGCCTGCTATAAGATTCAAACAGATGACTTATAAAACCAATATGCCACAGAAGACATTTTTTATGTGCCCATAACAATGATATTCATTTATCTTCCCTGTGCACAGTGAGAAAGGGGACAGGCAGCGACTAGCAAATGCAAACCAGACTGAGGCAGGGATACACCTGAAATGAAGTACAGTCCTTTCATGATACATACAGACAATGAGTGTGTTACAGGTAAGATCAGTTCAAATTAAAGAAAACACCTTGTTTTTCCTGACAAAAGTTGTTTAACTTTCTAATAGATTAAAGCTAGATTCATCACACTTCCTGGGGAGGTCAAGGATGAGACTAAGTTTTGCATGTATAATATATTTATTTCAAAGGGTACTCAACACTACCAGTTATGGGAAATGAACTGATTTTCCCAAAAGCAAGTATGTATGTATGACAAGCGTATATTTCCCTCATATTAGCATTGATTCAAACAGGAAAGTTTAGGACACATATGTAAGGGTCACTGACATTTTTTCTCAGATGACAAGTGAAACAAATCAGGGATGACAATGGCTTTTAATTTTTCATGCCAGGGAATGAAAGGGGGTGGGGGGGGAGGAACACCCACAAAACCCACACCCAAAAAACCACACCAGCACAAACCACCAAAAACCAAAAAAACCAAAAAACATGAGGAAGCAGAAAGCCAATTCTGTGTGAAAAGGAAGATTATTATAGACACATCAACTTAGCAGCTGCACAGGTAGAGAAAGTCTGGATAGACAGAAAATAGATTAAATGAGATGTTCTATTTACATAACTGAAATAATGCCCATAAAAATAACTGCGTGACTATGTTTGCACATATGTGCAATAGTTAAGTACACAGATGAATTTTATTACACTTATTTAGAGCATACATGGAAAGTCCATCTTAATTTCTTAAGGAAAAACAATTTTAAGTTAAACAATCAGCTCTTGGCATAGAGCAGCAAATTTAGAGAGCTTTTACCTCTGAATCTTCTTCAATCTGCAGTTGCCTAGCAATGGCCTCATCATCTAGTGTGCTGTCCCTGCTTTGCGAAGGCTATATTTAAGGAAAAAAGACCAACAGTTCAGTTTCTCCAATACTGTATAAATTATAATAATTTAATCTGTACAGATTCATTTTGTATACTTCTAGAAAAGGACTGGGAACAAGACATGCGGCATTTTATTCCTAGCTCTCTAACCTAAACACTATTAAACAACATTTTAATTGTGTTTGTTTTAAATTGGAGTTGGTTAAACGTTTTAAATTGCTTGTTTTCAAGAGATTTTACTATTTAAAACAAAACTATCCTATAATATAAATATCTCATTTCTTCAGAGATGTTCAGGATTGTTTGAACCTATCACAGTTGGCCCACTTGAAATATATAATAACTACAATCAATAACTACACTGATGAATTTTTAATTTCCTCCATACTTTATTTGGTGTTTTGTTATTCCATGAAGATATGTGCCATAAAGCTTGGAAAAACAGCCTCCTTCCTCTCCTGCCTGCCCTCCACCCCCAGCTATAAGCTATCCCATCCACCCACTAATCTCAGAAAACTACTTAAGAAAAGTCACTTAGAAGTAGCAGTAGAGAAAATACTACTTTCAACTTTGTATTATTTTCTCAAACATGGAAATGCTACTCTAAACTTACATTTGAGGACTTGATATGTCTGCACATATAATCAGAATTGAACTCATACTTGAGCGGTCATTTAGAAGTAGCCAAGTAGGACAAGCAGTTAAGAACCTCCTTGCAGTCATTTAACTGGCCATTTGATCCACTATCAGACACAGGAGCAGCCTAGAGGAACATCATCAGTACTCACTTCTTTCCTTTTACTTGCTACCAGTTTCTTTTCTGATCGTTGAACACCACTTGTCCCAAAGTAATCAAGTGCTGAGGTGGGAGTCTGTTTCACTGGAGATAATGGTTTGCTTTTAGCTCGTGGTTTTATATCTTCCTTTTTCACTGTAGTTGTTCCTGGACAACCAATTGCTGACGTCCCATTCTCCTTTGGTTTCAGGGAAATTCTTTTATTGACAAAGTCATCTTCTTCATCTAAACATGAAGAGTATTCTATTACTTCTGGTACATGGAACTTAAGTTCCTATAATGGAACTGTCAAGAGAACTACTTTGGCAAATTACATCAGCTCAGATCCTAAGAAAATATTACAGGAGTTCAGAAGTCACTAAAAAAAAAGCCCGAGTTGTGTAACACATAACATTTAGCATCTTTAATAGCATAGCTCAAGTCTGAATAGATTGAATACTGAAATAAAGACACATAAAATTTGCTACTTGTGTTCACACATTTCCTCTCATTTAGAGAAGTTTGCAAAGAATGCCTTCTCTTCTTACGTAGGGAAGACTATAAACAGAAAATTTAGGTCACTGAAGTTTGTACCCTCCCCTTAATTAATGTAACATCAAATTGAACAGCACAACTTCACATGAAATGCGAAATACAAAGCTACATTTATTTTACTACTTTATAGTACTCATCAACAGAGCTGCTAATATAGGGTTTGTAGTCTTGTATATTCTTAAGAATCTCTCAATATTACACTATAAACTGGGGGAAATATTAGAACACTGTATTTACAGAAAGCTTCTTGAATAAGCTTACTAGTTATTTTTAAAGTACTGCTCATAGCTTATGAATGTTTTAGCATAAACACTTTAACACCATTTTTTACTTTTTCCCCTTTTAGTCAGAAATTCTATGAGCTATCCTACATCCCCCTACATTCCTGCACTTAAAAAACACTCTCCTTCCAGCACCATCAAAACCGTTCCAAAGAAATGCAGCCATTTCAAGAACACAGAAATCACACAAGATCACACAAAATAGATTTTTCAATTTAAAAGGAGGAGGAAAAATGGCACACAGCCTCATTAAGAATTAGCCCACAGACCACTTGAAAAAACCACTCAATCTTTCCTTTTAGGACTCTTCTGTAATAGCCAGGACATGGTCTTCCCAACAATGAAAAAGAGAAAGAGGGTTTATTCATTCTGTACCCAAACTCTTCACCCAGTCAATCAATCAACAAAAAAAAAATTACTGAGGACTTCAAAGAGTTTTGTGTCATGTTGTGAAGTTCTACTGACAGTTATACAAATGAAACCCTATCACTGAAGCATACAAAAGCCTACAGATATCACCACCAAATGATTAGACCAGTATGACAGCACTGAAGACAAGCATCACTGGACAAGCTTCTTGATTAGTAATAAAAGCATTTTCTTTGTGAATTCTTCTAAAAACTCAAAGTGTGGAAGGGCTAAGAAGCAAACTGCAAGAAAACCCCAAAAATTAACATTAGACACAGAAAGAAAAAAGTGCAAAGACTCGAGAGGAACAGAAACAGAGGCCATCTCATTTGCATGCTTCTAACTGAAGTCTGGTTTTACTTTTCTCAAAATAGAGTCATTTCAGACACTCCCCTCAACTTATCATAAACACAGAATGTTCGTAACATCTGTTTTATAACTGAACTCAAAGTGACAGTGTTACCACAAAAATACATTCATTTTCCAGACATTTCTAATTTAAGCCCCCATATTTCTTTTCATACAAGAATTTGTTTTCTTAATCACTTCCCTAAGTTTAAATTATGTCATATGTATCATCTACAATTTTTGTTATATACTAGACAGAAATGGAGGGAAACAATTTTTGTTTCATCTTCTCTCAATAGATAGTAGTAACAAGAGCATTTTAGGCATGAGCTGGACTTTTCTGCTACTGAACACTTACTAAGCAGAATGTAACAAGTACAAAGGGGGATCCTGACTATTCCTGGGTGAGAAAGTTCAGAGAGAAAGAAAAATAAAACAAAGATATGTCTGTGAGAAAACTGGCTCAGCAGGTAAATCAAGAATGCCTGAAGATGAAAATTTATCTATGAGAAATTGGCATTTTAGCCAACTCAATTTACAAAGCAATAAATGGAAGAGAAAATTCAAGCCCACGCCCTCAGTTGACAGCATCAAGTTTCACCACAAAGCTAAAAGCTTTACTATTCTCAACATTATCTACTTTCCCTAGGCAGCAGTAAATCTTACTGCCATCTAGCTCAATTTAATTAACTATTACATATCTGCAAGATTTGGATACTAGATGCTTTAGGCCCCTAATTTACAATAGTTTGAGGTCTGAATAGGAGACTGCTTATCTCAAACTTAATTTCAGAAATATTCTTGCTTCTTTTATATTTTTCAGTTTAACAAGAAAATACATTTTACTCCTGAAAATGTACCCATTACTAGGAATCAATAGTTAACGTAGATGTAAATATATTTATTTGCCTTGGAAAGAAGATACAAACCCTATTCTGCCCCCCCGCTCCCCGCTTTTCTTAAGCTAAGGACTGTTCCATGCTAGAAAAGAATCTTTACTTGTCACTACTCTTACCGGAAGATCTGCATGCAATATTGATTTTTTTTCATTATTCACTCATAACCATTTAAATAGCAACAAAACCCAAGAGGATACTGCTTTCTCTCAAGTAGAAAGAAGCAGAGTAAATATAATTAGGTTTCAATTAAAAAGGATGTGGATTTGAGCCATTTATGATGCCAGTACTACGTATTACCAATAATTAGAGCTTTAATTATGTCTTTCCTAGAAACGACAGGATTAGAATTTATTGACAGCAAGCAGTGGCTGAAGAAGGACAAGAGACTCACAGCACTGATGAACAGTCATCTGTAAATGTAAGTAAAGAAAAGGCAGAATGAGAACGTTAAAGTAGTCATTAGGAAACAAAACCACCTCAATTCTATTAAGTGGGTTTCAAAAGATACTTTAGAGGACAGATACTCAGGCTAACGTCATCCCAGGTTCAGGAAATTCATAAGCATATCGCAAATTTGTCTGATCTCCACACACTCTCCTTATTTCAAGTACTTACAAACATCAACTTTTTCAGTAAAACCTTAATGCTTCTTCCTTGAAACAAACTGCTCATGCATGCCTACTGCCACAGAAGTGAACAGCAAAGTTAATGAGTTGTACACTTTCAGTTCTTACAAGCATGAAGGTGACTTCATTTACAAGTCTGAACATATCAAGAAAGTCTTAATATTGCTGCTGGACTATTCAGGTCAGTGTTTCTCAACACATGACCTGTAAAAGAAGAAAGGTATTCTCACTCATACAAGCAAGCCAGTAATTTGTGGGAGATAGAAGTGAAAATTCAGATTTTAGCTTATAAAACTCTAGATGAATTGCATTCTTATAGCAATTACTAGGTGAACAGTTGAGATAGCCTTACACTAAGGAAGAAACAGGAATCAATTTTATCATCAACTAGATTGCAAAATCTTTGTATAGCAGAACAAGACTATTCCAAGAACAGTATTTCCTGTTTACATTGACACTTTTTTTTATGTGTGCTATACCACGAAAAAAATACCCTGAGCATACACATTTGGGTTGGGTTTTTTTTTTTCAGGATTAGCTCTGAATTACAAACACAAGTTCAAGACCACGTATTCTAGTCGAGTCTTCTGGAAATTAAGTAGATGTGACAAAGAGAAAGCTAATCATGTGACTAATGGAACAGACAGGCATGACAACCAGGAGATTGCTTTTAATTATTTTGGATGCAAACACTACACATGAAGCAGGGACCTATTATGCCAGGCAATATACAAGGTCAAACTTCCCTAGCAACAACCAACAACTGTTAAATCCTGGGGGTTTTAAGAACTATTCCATGACATTAAAGCACACCTAGCTTTCATTTTATATACTGTTATAGCAGTAGCACTATTAGGTTAATAAACTAATGCCTGCAGCCCACCTGTAACTGTTTGTTATTTCTCTTCCTCTTTCCTATCCTCACCCTTTCTCAACAGGGTTTCACCCGCTGATTACAGAGCAACATCTGCAGTTGTTCCCTAACTGAGCTCCATCAAAATTATCTAGGCTGTTCTAAACATTTGTTTAAACTCAGATCATTTGAAAAGACTCAGATTCAGGAATGACCTCATCCAATCTAAAAAAGGAAGTGTCTCTTGCAAGAAGGGACAATGGCAACAAGCAGCATGGGACAGACCTTCAGATGGCCTTCAGAATGTATTTTATTCATCTTTTATTATTTCTGTACTGCCAAGTTCCTCATCAGTACGAATATAATTCCTTCGTTCCTATTCTGTTTAGAACGCAAAATTTTTAAGATGGAGACAACCTCTTACTATGATGTTATAAAACCAACTCCAAATATAGGCAGGGCATTTACAGGTTACAAATACTTACTTAGTATGATTAAATGCATGTTAAATTGATGTTTGTAGACTACTACATAGGGATTTCTATATGAAGCTAAAGGACTATATCCTATCCAAAAGTCATTAAATCTCCATTACTTGTATAAAATTACAATGTTCTGGACATTCTTCAGTTTCAATGGCACCACATCTGCACAAGTACTTAGAACAGTTCCTGTCCTAAAGATCTTGCAGCCTAGAGCAATAGGTGTTGCTGTCCAAGCTAAAGTTGAGAGTGAAGAAAATAGTTTGTCTGAAAAGAAGTCATTGTATCAGGTACTGATTATTTTAAATAGGCATTGGTCAGTACTCAACAGTCGTAACACTTGGTAGGACTGAGTTTTGTATTCATCTTTTGCTTAAAGTAAATATCTATGAAGATTACCTTCAAGATAACTACCACTTCTCAAAAAAGCCAGCAAGTCTATTCAAACTCAACCCCCGTAACCCTTTCAAAAGACAACAAACGCTATGTGTGACTAGCAAACTCCATTTTTTTCTATCGGCCTCCTCATTTAAAAACATAGTAGTTGCAACTTACATTTAAAAAAAATGGTCTTTGCAGTCATTTTGATTTTTTATGTCATTTCTCAACAAGCAAATTGATTTTACATGTACTAAAAACATATACTTTAAACCACAATTGTTAGCACTTTGCCTATAACAACATGTCAAGGTCCTATGCTGTTATAAAAATATATAGCTTACCAGAACCACTCCAGTTTTACTCCCCTGAAATCAATTTACATTTGGATTTTCCAAGTATCAAAGATAATTTCA